CGCTGACGCAGTGGCTCTCCATGATAATTGAATTGATGGGGCCCCTAAGGGACACAGGGTCCCGCTGAAATAAAACACTGTTCAAAGGGTCCAGAGACGGCAGTTATCACACGGAGACCCACTCGAAATATACTTTGAGCGCCAGTGGATGTTTTTGCATCTTTCACTGTGTCTTTAACGGGTCGGACCCGACATCACTAATGTGTGACCATGTGACCGGATCCTCCTCGTGCTACACTTTCGTTTCAATTGCTGACGAACACACACACACACACACACACACACACACACGCGCGCAAACACAGCCGAGCGGCGTGTTTTATTCATGAATGGAGAACCGGTGTTGTGTGTCCGTTGTCCCTGATGTTTGCTTTAGCGGCGAGTCAGAGAGCCGCTCCCGGCCCTTTGATTAGGCAAAGAGCTCCACCAGAGGAGGAGGAGGTATGGAGGGGGGGGAGGGGGGGTTACTGTGTAATGAAGAGATTATTGAGCCCCCTGAACTGTACCCCAAACCCGGCAGGAACACTACACATCCGCAGATGGACAACAGACGGAACCGGAGCCCCGGCGATGGCCGCGCGTACTGTCCACATGCACTTACCCTGATAACTGCAGCTCCTGCTGCACCGGGAGACAGGCCTCTAATTAATTTACAGTCCTCTGTGGATCTCGGAGGGCATCTGGGGGGGGTTGGGGTCTTCTAGCAATTCAGCTGAATACTATTACAAGCTAATGGCGTCCAATTACAGAGGAGAGGTTTATTTTGGGCTGCGCTGCGAGTGACACAGAAGTGAGAGGGATGGAAGCCGTATGCTGCAACACAACGCGCTTTTACCGCTACACACCCCGTGCATCGGTCCGCAGCCGTGCACGACGTGATGGACTCTGTCATATCCAGAGAGATTTCTTCATCAACCAGGAAATGAACGCAGCCTCGCTGGTGACGGAGGTCAAACATAATCCTCAGGCGCCCGCTCGGGCTTTTTCAGTCAAACGTGTCTCGCAGAGCGGCGTGAAATCCCGCCCGGGACATTTTTTAGAGATTACTCGGCCCGTTCCATTTGATATTGCTTTTTTTTTTGCATCGTTGGAGGTGCTTTGTTGGAGCTTCTGCTGCTGCCAGTTTTCCTCCAGTAAAATGTCGCCCTCCGGAGGAGACGCGGGGCGCTGCGAGGATTATCTCCTCATTCTGTGGATTAACTAAAGTAAACATTCTCACAGAAAGTTGCCAAGCATGAGTTCATCGCATCCCATCTGGGTGTTGACTTTGGGAGTTTTTCCCAGGGCACGGCCGAAGGCCTGTTGCATTTCGAAAGGCTTAATAAAGAGTGTGCTTTCAATTAGCATGTTCTTCACCGCGGCAGGAAAAATCCATGTAGACGGTAAACATTTCGGCTGAGAAGAATTGCAATCCATTGCTCGGGTTTTCTGGCCACATAAAGACGTGGTAATGTTTGATTTAATGGCCTGAGGTAAATTGCTAAGATGATATATTGAACAAATAAAGCAATAGAGCATAAATCCTGCGATGTTACTGCGCTTTATGCCGAGTGGGCAACAGGAATCAGCACTAAAGCTGCGGTGCTTTTGTGAGGATCCAGCGCACAGAACAATACTGAACACATTAGTGCACGTGGAGCCCCACAGAAAAAGGGCGTTTGTGGTTGTTTGCATGAAGGAGAAAAGGCTTTTTCCACCCATGCGGCCCGAGGGAGCGATCCCCGCCTTCTACCACAGGAGTAAATATTAGCAACATGCTCCCACAACGCAGTCTTTTTTTTTTCCATAAAGAGAGAATGTGAAGAAGAGCCAGATATATAGGTGGCGGTCTTGGCAGGGAGGGGTACTACTTTACGATGCCTCTGCAGGCCTGGATTTACAGCAGCCATTACTCCTGACAGGGAGAGCCTCCCCGCTGCGTAAAGAGCAGCGCAGCCGTGGATTTACAGCCGCGGGGGGAGACCACAACTGCTTTTAATGCTGACTCGGGTTTAATATTCTCTCTCCTGGACCTTTTGCCACCGACTTCAGCCAAGTAGCGGTGTATTGTAATGAAATATGATTGTTTATAGAAAAGCATGCGATGGAAAGTCTTTTCCAGTTGTCCCGCTTTTATTTATTTATTTTTTAAGTCGGATGCATTTGACGGCGTCCGTTTTCGGATCGTGGCAGCACACCTTTAGTGATCCAAAGAGACAAACACCGTGGGGGGGGGGGGTGTTTGGTCTGAGTACCACTAGATGTCCCCATTATGCTTCCGCGTGGATCCCTGCAGCTCGGGAGCTCTGTTGGTGCTTAAGATGAGAGCCAGATGATCATTCCCTCCATGACACTACAGAGCATCTAATGAGCTGGAAAATGACGCCCAAGGATCCTTATATCAGATCACAATGGACCCTCTGCAGTTCTGCAGCCCAAGATTCTGAAAATAATAATCCCAGTGACTCACATTTACTCCAGTTCTCAATAGTTCTAATTGAACGCGGGAGCGCAGAGGAAGATGGAGGTTTGAAATGTGGTTTGACATTTAGTGTGAACTTTCTGTCACGGCAGCAGCGGAGAGAGAGAGTCAGAACATTTCAGAACAAACCGCGGACGTGTAACGCCGCTGTGGCTGCTTGAATGCCATCACGCCCTCGTGCTTTCATTCCCTCTCACCCCTGAAGCTCCACGTGGAACCCGGCCACCTGTGTCACATGTCAGACAATGAAGTCGAAAACCTCCTGCGACGATAACATCCGTGGAGCGTCCAGGGAACCAGGCGCCGATGCCCCCCCCCCGGATCAGAAACTAAGTGTGACTTAAGGATGTGTGTGTGTGTGTGTTTTCCACAGCGAGAAAAGCTGATCCACGAGCTAGAGGAAGAGCGACGGCTGCGACTGGAGAGCGAGAAGCGCCTCCGGGAGGTGACGGAGGAGTCGGAGCTGGGACGGGCGCAGATGGTGTCACTGCAGCAGCAGTTCTCCAGGTAACGGAAGGGGTCAGCAGTGGTATCCGGCAGAGTAAATTAACCACAAAGATCCAAACTAAAAGTCCCAACATCCATCTCTTCCCAATAGTAGTCTCGGCCTTTTGGCCGCAGTTAACCTCCAATCACCACTTTGTCTTATTAACCTTAAATCAATACGGCGTTCCTGCCTTTACCACTTCCTTCGCTCCTTGGTTATATCGTCCGAGTACCACGGCGGCATTTCTCTGCTCCCTTCACCTTGCCGTCGGGCAAATGGAGGGTCGATGCTTGGAAACGAAGTGCTCAAACGACGCTCCCGTTTCCGTAACCTCCAACGCCGGAGCTGCCGCTCCATCTCGCCGCCGCCCAGGTGTGACGGAGAGGGCCGGCCAATCACCAGCTGATGACTTAATAGGGCGACAGGCCTTCAAGCGCTTTTTCTTTACCAACAAAGAAGAAGAGGAAACGAGTCCAGAGAGTTCGCGTTAGCTGTTTATCTCCTCCTCCTTATAAATCCTGTAGCTTGTAATGGTCCCAGCGTCCCCGAGTGCCGATAAGAGCCACTCTGAAGATTTATCCCACGTTTAAAATGCTCGGTTGGCGCCTCTGAATTAAACTCGGTGGTGTTTCTCTCTTATTTTACGGCTCACAGCTCTTACCCCAGGGGCGAATGGTTTCTTCAGTGCATCTCACCATCATCTCTTCAGCCGGCGTGTCACTGGAGGTCCATGCAGGACGCAGCCTTTGTGGAGTCACGGTTTACAGGTTACAATTTGCAGTCGGTGTCTGATGACCCTTCGTTTTCTACACTGTGCAGCGCGGTAGTGTCTCTGTGTGGGACTCATTGTGGTCCCCCCCCCGACTCCCCTCGCCAGGAAAGTGGTGATAATGTTTGTGGAGGACATTCCCTCCTCGGGTAAACCTCTTTAAAATGTACCGTAGTGGTGAATTGGTGGACAGGAGAGCAGCAATACGGGAGTCCATGTCTCGCAGGGGGAGAATTCGCCTCACTTACGTTAGGGTGGGAAGTGTATAACGCTTATCCCTGATTGGCTCCTGCACCGGTCCCCATGGAGACGGATGAATTCGTGGCCCCGGATGGACTGGCGGCTGCTGCTGGCTCTGCATGATGGACCAAGATTCCATTATGTCGTCAATTGGATGGCGCCCCGTCCTCACAGAGGAGGGGCGCCATCCAATTGTTGTAATTTCCGCAGGCCGCCTCGTCAGTGTCTCCGTCTAACTCGCCCACGTGGAGGCCGATGATCGGGGGGCTCCCTGCCGGGCCGGCGGGTGGGACGTCAGCGAGGTGACTTTAATTAGGGAGTTACAAGCAACAAGAAAAGGAAAAGATGACTGGCTCTTCGCGTGGACCTTCGCCCCACATGCATCTCAGTCATTGGCTTGTGGACATGCATCTGCACACCCACGTTGACCCATGTGACAGCATTGGTGTCTGTACTGCTTGTGCTCATGGAGACCTTCAACAATTATCCCCTGATTGATTTGAGCTGTTGGTTGTTGCACATCGGGAATAAAAAAACAAAACGTTGTTAGAAAACATGTTAAGTTAAATAGACTGAAATCTGTTTTGCCCCCAGGCAACAATTGATTGCGTACTTTTAATTAATTGGGGGTTGTGCTCTGAATCGCGAGGATGGAAGTGAAATCAGCTGGCAACCGGCGAAGCGTCTTGAAGGATGAAAGCAGGCGAGTGGTTGGAGCAAAGTAATCAAAAACCATGCAAATGAGCATAGAGTCCAGTCCGATTTGACTAAATGCATTTCTTTTTTTTTTGTTTTGTTAGCGCTTGCTTCAGGAGAGCGAGGCGGTGTTTCCGTGGCGATATGAGACAAAAGGCAACGAGCTGCTCGGAGTCGCTCTTTGCGTCACACGCGCGAACAAACGGGCGTATCGACAACAAAAAGGAAAAGATCAGACAGTCTCTCCTGGAGCCAGACAACCTCCGGGGGAATCTGCTTCCTCCAGCCTGCGTGTGCGTGTGCGCGCGTGCGTGTGTGTGTGTGTGTGTGTCTGCCTTGAATGCAACGCAGGGACAAAACAACTGGCTTTTCTTTTTCCGACAGTCATCCGCTTAAGAGCTCAATTTGCTTGTGTTTTCACGGCTGAGATCAGAACGGCTGCATTCCTCAAGTGACCGTTCGGGCTGCAGACACAGAGGTGCACACACACACACACACACACACACACACACACACACACACACACGCCCTCCCCCAATCGGTGTGGGTCACATGCGCGGCCCCTCCTGACTTGGGTCAACCCCCCCCTCTGCTTCACCACCATCATTAAACTCCCGTTGGATTGGTGGGAGACTCCAGCCCACAGCCCCCCCCCCTCCACCCCCCACCCCCCTCGGCCCACCCTGGACGTCCCTCTAACTCCATATGGGCAAGACATTTGGGAGCCGGGAGACGGGAAGAAGGGGACCGGAGGAGGGAGAGGGTGGGGGGGAGCAGCCCGAGAGACGCTGTCAGAAGTCTCCCGTTTGACAAAAGGACAACAGGAAACAAGAAGCGTAAATATAGTGCGGCGGGGTCCGTTTGGACGTGCGTCCGGCGCCGCATCCCCCCCCCTGCCCTTCCTGTGTCGCTACCCTCGGACAGGATGACCGGATGGGAGCCGGCGGGCCCACGGGGGCCGCTGGGGGCCCTGCGTGGCCCCAGGATGAGGGAGGCAGTTGGCAGGTAATGAGCAGAAGAGCCACTTTGTATTATTTTGTCTTTTTAACAGAACTCGGGGACAGTTTGGGAGGCGGCTCGGCTTGAGATGGCTTGCAAATAACTTCCCCTCGACTTTGTTTCCAACCCGGTCCGCTTGAGCCTGGACGTGAGGGGCCGTCTCCGCGGCGGGATTGCGAGGAGACTCGTGGCTGGACTGACATCAACCGCACGCAGCGACCGCCGGGCCGCAGATTTACGGCCCGGCAGCGTTTTGCTTCTGCACATCGCTCAGTGTGGGATGTAAACAGGCTGAGGTCCCTGCACGGCCCACAGAGTAAAGTTACATAGCTCAGTGTGTGTGTGTGTGTGTGTGTGTGTGTTGTATGCGTTCATGTGTTACTCTCATTACCCCCAATCCCGCCCCACTACTCTGGACTGCACAGCTGGACCGGCGTACATGCTCATGGAGGGAGCGGAGTGATTGCCCTGTGTTTGCAGATCAATGGCCTCTCTTCCAATCACCCCGTCGTCCCGCCGCGCCCGGGCCGAAGGCTTTGATTCGGCACGCTGGAAACGGACCCCCTGGGTGCTTTTGGCGGCTGGAGGATTTAGCCGGATGAATCGGGCCCCTGTTCAGGACGACACATCTGGGGTCATTAACAAGATGGAGGGGGGGTCAGCCGTTTGAAGTCACTTCCTTTCTCCCGCCCAATGGGCACAGGGGCTGTTAAATAGATAATGGGTGTCTGGACTATTTTGGGAGCACCTCATATTTAAAAGGATTTATTGGTTCATTTCAGCCCCTCTATTTAACTCCTAAATTTGAGCAGGGAATTAAGTGTGATTGAACTTAATTTGGGTCGCTCCATCGCCTGCACCGCATTGCCAGCCCACACGAGTATTGGTACCAACTCTTAAAAAAAAAAAGAAGTTATAAAAAGTGAGGGAAGAAAGTCTGTTCCATTACTAAGCACCCTGCTGGGTTGTGGGTCAAAGTGCATCCTATTACTTGCTTGTAACTATGTCAGACAATCACAAACACTCTCACACACACACACACACGCTGCACTTGGCTAACTTCCACCTTGGATTAAACATGCTGGTTATGATGTTTACAGGCGAGCTGAAGGAGGTCAGATTACAAGCTCGTGTGGAAGTAGGGCAGCCGTCCACACATCGCCTGCTCCCTCCAGGCTCAGAGAGCTGCTGCTCACAGATTGGAGCCTAGAGCTAAAAAGGATGTAATCCAAACCGGCCCCATGGTCGCGGTATGGATGTGACACAAACGCACAAAGGCCGCTGTTGTGTCCCGTGTCTGAACGCGCGGATCACGTGAGCAACACGGAGGGCATTTTAACAGACTAATAGTCTCAAGGTCCCCCCCCTTGCTGGGACGTCGTCCTCGGTCTGTTGTCTCTCCGGCTCACATGTGGGACACACATGCCTGAAGGCCTGAAGGCCTGAAGGCCGGTGGGATACGGAGCCAATGGCTCCCTCACTGCTGACTGCTTCCTGAGCATGTGGGACGGCCGCGATGAATCTGCCCTCCAAATGCTCCCAAACGTAGCGGGACTCCCGAAGGGATGAAAGGAGAAGGACTCTCTTTTAACTCACCCGCCTCGCTGACTAGTCGCTCGGGCAGAAATGCACATTTTAATGTAGAAGTTGAATTGAGCGAACAAACATCTGAGTGAAACATGGCTTTAACACCCAATGCCAAATGCTTTGGCCTCTTGATCTCCTTTTCTGTGGCATGTGTGTCTCGTTGAGAAGGTTAAAAGGTCGCTGACCGGAGTCCGTGGTCACAAGGGCGAAACCCTTTGTAATGCTACCCCTCCGTATCGTGCACGACTTTTACAGATCTGAAGCGTCCTCGAGGGCCGTAAAGTGGACCCACCCGCCACCAAAGGCATCTGGTTTAGTTCCCGCAGGGTTTGACCTCCCGTCCGCCGAGAGGATGAGAGTGGCTTATCGGGCCGCTTAAGCCGGGCCAGCAGAGGTTGGCGTGCACGAGTGATTAGGATGGAATATTCTTCAGCCAGATCGGACGGTTCTGCAGGTCAGATAAGGCGTTCGATGCAGCCCCCCCCCCCGATGGCCCCCATTCAGCCAGGTGATTGTTCCCTCTATCATCTCAGCAGCTTAAGGGTTTTCCAATTGTTCACTGGGTCCAATCTGATTGGAGTGTCTCGGCCAACGTGAGCCGCTGATAAAGTGAGAGTGAGCAGACGAGCTGCTTCATCTCGCGTCTTTCCTTCCCATGCTTCGACTCTCGTCTTTAAACCGTAATCATATTCAGACTTTTGACGCTTTGTGCGGCTATAGATTACGAGGGGCTTCGTGGTGTCGTCTTTATCTCGAGCATCAGGTTTTCCTTTTGAAGCAGCGAGTTGCCGTCGCCAAGGGACGCTGGCAGCCCAGACACGCAACCGCGGCGAGATGTGACAGCGACCAGGGAGTCCTGGCGCGCAGCCCCCCGCGTTATCCTTCTTACAGGGAAAGTGTTGGTTTTCAGTGAAGCCAAAGCCTCTTAATCACCAATCTGCACACACACACACACACACATAGCCTGACAAAACAGAGGGATCCCCGTCCTTAGTCCATCCCTGACTCCCGTCTGATCCGAGCCAGCGGGGGGTCCCTCCTCCTTTCGCCGAGGGCTTAACACGGGACATACGGGGAAGTCTTTGCCTGCCGGATCGCCGGCGGGGTAATGACACACCGGAGACACGGCGAGCGAGAAAATGAGATCCGCCGTCACTCTCAGGCTCTTACGTGATGGCCGCATGGCCTAGTTCGGCCACGCGGGTCACGCCGCGGCGCTGAGGGCGCGTCCGGAGGCCTCTCCGTGCGGAGCTCGGCGACTTCTGCTCGGTGCTTCTGGCTTTCAGAGAGCGAGAGCGAGAGAGGGGGGGGACTGAAGATGGGGTGAGTTCTGAGCTCGGGGTGTCGGTTTGGGGTCCTTTTGATCGCTGAAGCCAGTCTCGTTGAACAGAAGTCGTTCTGAATGAAACGCTCCTTCGTTTGAAGTCTCGATATCATTGTGGCTTTTGACAGCTAACCCGTAAAGAAGAAGAAGAGGTTTTTTTACGCTGACTGTGTGATGTCAACCAGCACAGCATTTCACCTCTAATTGTCCCCGTCAGTTCTGACGAGGCGTCACTCACTCGGTCGCCCTCAAACCTTGTTTGCTGGTGTATGTGTGTGTGTGTGTGTGTGTGTGTGTGTGTGTGTGTGTGTGAGACTCAGAGGTTGGTCTGAAGATCGGCAGGCCTGCAGGCTGCGAATTGATTGCACCCCTAATTGTATTTCCTGCACTGCTGACGAACGGCGCGCTTTAGATTCAGCGTGTGGCGCGGCGGGGTCAGGGAAGCCAGAATTAGCTTTTTCCTCCATGCGAGTGCCCTCAAACACACACACACACACGCAGTATTTGTCCTTCCTTCCCTCTCTCCTCCCCTGAATGATGTTTTCAAGAGGTCCTTGGCAAACCCTTTGAGATTAATCACACTATCACTCTGAACAAGATAATATTTCTATGTAAAGTAATGCTCTGTCATCTGAGAATAATAATCCATCCATCACAGGCGCTCAGCAGACTCTCACACGCGTAGATACGTTTTAGGGGTCTGAATTTACAGTATACTGACAAATTACACTCTATATTTTATGCGCTCTTTTGATGGTCCCATTTAGTTTTTAGCAGGATTTACTACTTGCATTTAATTACTTAAATGCACTTTTCGATGCCTTTGGAATCTTTAGAACGTGTTCTCTCATGAAGTATTGCTTGTTACTAATTAATGCTGCAATAGAGCAGAAGGGCTGTTATATGGCAATGATTACTGGGAGGTGATTCTCCAAAGAATTGTTTTTGTTGTTTGTTGCAGAGATGATAACTGTCAGTTCAGGCCCAATCCTGAGTTTATATTTGGAGGCGATGAATAGATGTTTTAGATCCTCCTTCAGAATGGATTTAGCCTCTCTGTCCACGTCTCCTGTCCCCCACCTCTGCTCAACTTCAAAGCCTTTCAGTGCCCCCCCTCCCCCCTCAAAAGCACCAAAGTCCGTCCAGCGAGGAGCCACATCTGTGCTTCATGTGACTTTGAAACGGACGCCGTATGGAAAGCGGCGCGGCTCCATGTGGCCGTTTGGAACCACAAAGGGTTCCTTTCAGGTGTGCCAGAGTGCCACAAACCCCTGCAACCACATCAAGACCCCCCCCCCCCCTTACCCCCCCGCCCCACACACACACACGGCAGTAGGAAGCAGGCATCAAAGTGCTTCTCAACCAGCCTGCCACTCTGTAAGCGAAGGTCATGGAGGTCAGCCTGGGAAGTGTGTGTGCAGGTGTGGCTAAAACCCCCGATGTGGTTTGTTTAATCTGACAATTGCCTCTTTGGGTCGTTTGGCACATGTTTGCATTCGTGTTGCATTGGAATCATCTTGACTCCATCTGTTCCTTCCCTGGTGACATTTGGTTCGTTTGCACACGGGTCCTTCGGCTCCACCTGGTTACGGACTTTTAGTCAACCAAATAGAGGCTGAGGTCTGCAGGGGAACTGCCCCTACTCGCCTCCCCTTTTTGCTCTATAGGTGCTGATGAATTAAAGCAGGAACCGGGGAAGGATCCGCCCCCCCGGCACCCCCCCGGCCCCCCACCCCGGCCCTGCCCGCTCGCTCCTTGGGCCGTTCAGTCAGCAGCTAGCGGCCTGATTACAGCCGGCTTTGTGGCTCAGCCCGGACAGATGGTGCCGCTGGCGCCTTCCCGCTCTGCCGGCCTGCGCTCATCCTCACCCACTGCCCCACCCCCCCCCCCCCCCCCCCCCCACCGCCTCCCCTTCCCCGGTCAGGGCCGATCAGAGCTAGGCTCGGGTGATATTATATATAAGCATATAAGCACCTCTAATATCACTGATGTTATCAATTACGGTATTATACTTTAAAATGAGATGTTTGCCTATTTATGCACAATGAAGGTTCTGCAAACTTACTGAATGCTCCACCTTCTCTTCACCGGGAATCACAGCGTGGCAGTGCCAGTATACTGAATGTGCCTTTTATCTGCATTTAGGTTCATGTCCTGCCAGCTGGGTACCAGATAATGTCATGGAGCTAATCCCTGAATAAGTCAATGCCCGTGGGGGTCAAAGGTTGCAAATCGAGGGCTGGAAATGGCTTGTGGCTTTTATTCAGATGGAAATACACGGCCCCTCTTTTTCACCTATTCTGTGTGCAGCTTGCATGGCTATGCAGGGAAAAAAAAGCGACGCTGAAATTGTTTGGAGCAAACCAGCACTTGATGGCCGAGGTCACCCGGTCGGTATTCGCCACCAGCCAACACTGACACACGCCTACACAAGTGCAAAGTCAGTGAGCACAATGTTTGCACATTCTGCACTCAATCCGCTCATTCAGAGCCGCGGCGTTCCCGGCGTTGTCAGCTGATCAAAGGTTGGGATTCAATCCAAAGAAATGCCATCATCCAGCTCGTGTCTCTGGCACTTATTTAGTCCAACTCTCTTTTCATGATCAGTTTGTTTGTGGAAGCGGAAAAAAGATGCAATGGATGCATTTCAAACAACAAACGTGGGATAAACGTTGTAAAACGGCTTGAAAATCGGCCTTGTTTTTAATTTGTACCGCGTGTCATCACTCTGGAGCAGAATGATCCTCTCCAGCTGAGCCAGGAGAACCTTGAGGTTCTGCTGCTGTCTGTTTCTTTTGGATCTTCACTTTCACACCTGGAGGCGGTGCGAGGAGCTCAGGCTGCCTGAAACATCTCACAAGGAGCAATGTGTTGGCCCTTTGTTATCCGAAGGCTTACGTGCAACCAGCTCCTTCGGATGAAACATTGTCCATAAGTGATGACAATCTCATGTCGTGTTCTGTGTGCAGGATGGAAGAGACGCTGCGGTCTCTGCTGCAGAACCAGGGCGTGGTGGAGCACGCGGCCGTGGACACGATGGACATCATGAAGGCCTACAGGGTAAATTAATCCACTGATATAATGTGCACTCATATCGTCGGTGTCGGGCTCGTCCCGGTACTCAGGTCAGACCACGTGGAGCAAAGCCCAAGGTGAGTGTCCTGGTTACATAAGAGAGACAGCCGGCGGGACGGAGCAGAGAGAATACGGATATTTCTGAGGCGCCGGGGGTCGTTATTCTCCCCCATGTCTGAGGGCCAGAAGAAAGAGGTGTGTGTGTGTGTGTGTGTGTGTTGCATTGTTGTGCTGACGTTACACGTCTCTGTGCATCATTGCAGTCACTAGAGATGTTATAGAGGTAAAAAGAAGGGTAGAAAGAGTCTTGCAGCAAAATACCTGCAGGAAAGTAATGGTGTGCCGGTGAAGCAGGGCAGAGGATGAAACAGCACCAAAAGGACGAAAAAGGTGGAGACGGTGAAACGAAGAATGTGCTGTAAACTGTCCGGAGGTGCAAAAGCTGCATGATGAAGATACGACTGTGTGCACAGTAATCCTCTCCTGGGCCGAGCAGCAGCAGGACGACGAGGGGCGACGTGGGAACGGTTGCGTGGAGGCTCTCAGCGAATGCCTTCATCCGCGAGCACAAACACATTCGGCATTATGACGCGTCGTCTTATTTACCCGTCTCTAAATCCTCACTGTAAATGATTTAATGGTAATCAACGCCTATTCTAAAAGTGCATAACTGGGCCAATTAGGGTTCATTCATGTGTGAAGAGAATCTATTCCGCAGTGACATTTGCTGCGTGTAGACACACCTCGCTCCTCTGCTCAGCAGTCACAGAGAATAAACTGGGAGGGTTATTATCATGCCATCCCCAGCAGATGCACTCGGCCGCGTTCTGTGTGTCCAGCAGACAAACTCAATAACTTGAAAGGGCAGCGCGAGGTGCAAGGTTTCCTCGCCTCCTCCTCGGCACGCTCTCTCCGCGGCGATTATGGGCGAGCCCTTTAACGCCGCCTGATGAGCGCCGACGGCAAACCAAAGCAAACTTTAGAGCGTGACTTTAAAGGATTGCCTCCAACCCAATTGTCTGATGGAATCGAGCGAGATGGAAAACCTAATATAGTTTTTGGAAGATACTGGATGAGGCTGAAAACAAAGTGCTCCAACTGCTATTAGCAGAACAAAGCATCTCGTGCCACATTTGGATTACATACATATGTATATATATATATATATATATATATATATATATATATATGTATAGATAGCCTCATTCAACAGACATCTTGGTGGTTTTGTGTTGCTTGAAGTATGAACATAATATAGATTAAATTTTAAGCAGAAAATACCTTTTGGCACAAAACTCTAAATTTGAATCCACAAAAATCTCCTTGAATCTGAGAAGAATTCTTCTCTTGATTTGGTTCTGCAGATGAAATTAAAATCCTTTCTTTGGACATTTCATGTTTTACCTGATTGTCGTATTCAAATGAATCAGGGTTTTAGTGGAGAAACACATTTAACATATTTAAACTGCTCACGGCCGCATCTCGTTCTATGAAACGCGCAAGATTTCCGACACACTGAAAACAATCGTATGTCCCTTTAGAGCATTTCACGACACGTCACACGCGTGTGCCAGGAAGCCCGTTGTGTTTTCTTCTCGCAGTGCCTAATTAGTGGCTTATTATTACCGTCAGTTCATTATCGCAGATGCCGCAGGGAGAAAAAGAGACGAAAGGGGGAGACAGACGCGCGGCCGAGGCCAAGCGGGGGAGAGAAGAGCATCGAGGCGAGAGCCCTCAAGGTCACGGCCACTCTTTGGGAAACAAGTGAAACGTGATTAGGGATTAGGGGACGTTTTGCAGCTCTGTAGTCCCGTCTGCCCGTCTGATCCTCTCCCCTTTCACTGTCTCTCTTTTATTTGTCGTTCACGGCTCCTCGCGTCCTGCCCTGAAACGTTTGTCAAAGCTCGCTCCCGAACGCTGTTTCCCCCCCATCTGCTCGCTTTTACCCACTTCCTCTGTCCCCCTCCTCCTGTTGCTCGTCCCCTTCTCACCCCGTCTTCTTTTTTTCCATTGTGTCAGGACAAGCTCTCCGAGGAGGTGCGTAAACAGTACGACGGTCTCGGAGAGAAAGGCTCTCCGGACGGAGCCGGACGCGCCCGTCGCCGATCCCGGCCCATCGGAAGAGGGCGACGGCGACGGCCGACCGCTCGTGGATCGCCTCAAGGCCCTGGAGGTGAGCGCTGCGGCCCCTCGTCCTCTGCAGGGGCCTCTGGTTTTCCTATGCGCTCGGGGTGGGAGATCCGCCACAGGGACACACGGTCTCAGCTCTCTACTGCAATCCAAAGGAGATACCTACACTTTACGTATTTAGATGGCTTTTCAAAAGCTACCTGCCATTTAATTGCATTCTGCCGGCGTGGGTGATGGATGCGCGCCGGCTCGTGCGGCTAGAGCCAAGCGGAGGCGATACATCACCGGCCCCCACTTTGCATAAACGCCCGAGGACACTGTGCAAGCGACGCGCAGCGCTTATTCCTCCCGCTGTTCGTTAAGGTGGCAGCGACGCGCCGCAGTCGCACGGCTTTTTCGAAGAAAGGGCCGTCGGCCGTCTTCCTTTTTAAGGGGGTAAGAACATAAATGTGGCCGCAGAGGTTCTGTTATCAACGTCCTTCATGCACGAAGGTCTAAGGTTTTCCCACTCAGGTGATTTAATGGATTCCTTTGTCCTTGCAGGGACGGATTGGATCACATGAAGTGTGGTCGCCGCGGTACTTATCCATATCCAGTACCTTACACAACGCACTCTACAGAATGAACTTTGCTTCAGATTCAATTCCCTTTTGTTTATTCCTGCACAAAAACGCTCCAGCAGCCGGAAAACAGCATCAGCGAAATAACCCGAGGCTGTAAACATGGTCGTCGGTCTGCATTTATCTATTGTCGTAACGTGCATTGTGCCAATCTCCTGTCAGCAGAAATGTAAATAATCCCTCCACACTGTCACCTACGAATGTCTTTTTTTTTAAGCTGCCATGAGCCGTCTATGTCAAGGTCTTCCAGAGGACAATGACAGAGGAAGACGTTACGGGACGCGCTGCAGTAAATCCATTACCAAATCCAAATGACGTTCTCCTTTCAACCTTTTGTCATTGCACAATGAAGCAGAAATAACATTCAGGGTTTGGGCAACAAAACGCTGCTAAAGTCGCTTTCTGCCAGTCTGGGATGGAGAGTCGAATGACACTTCATACACGACTGTGGACAACGACTGCGACACAGCAGATATCTGCACGCTCGCCGTCATGCTGCAGTACTTAATGAGTCAGTGGCTGCATTCACGTTCCCCGTGTTTCCATCAGCACGCGGAGAGAGAAGCCAGGCGGGCTGACGGCCCCGAACGTGCTACCTGCCGCTGACAAATTGGAAACCTCCCAGAGATCAATTGGAAGCCGCCTCATCGCGGAGGAGATGTTCCCATTAGGTCCAAACTCCAAAGTTCAGCATCACAACTTCCGACCCCCTTGACCTTTTAGCCGTGCTGTTGGCCCTCCTGCTCCAGCGCGGGAATCTGACCTTTTGCGCAGCACCGCTCCCGTTACCTGCAGCTCCGCTCGACTGCGATTCCTGTCTCGTCGCCGTCGTCGTCGTTGTTGTTGTTGTTGTTGTTGTTGAACCCCGGTGCGTCCGTGTGCTCTTTGCAGGAGAAGAATTCCGCCCTGGCCGTGGAGAACGAGAGCCAGAGGGAACAGTACGAACGCTGCCTGGATGAGGTGAGAGTCTGCCGTGGTCACGTACACACTCTCAAGGGGGGGGGGGGGGAGTTGCGCAATATGTCCTGGGAACAACAGGCTCAGCGGACCGAGGGAGGGAAGAACTGGCCGGGCGCTTGCTCGCGTTGGGAGGGCTCAGGGATAAAAACGGGGGGGGGGGTGGGAGCGAGCGGGGCCCTGTTAAAGATGCCGTTTGGAGGATGCAGGCTGTGTGTTTCTCTCTAACAAAGTTTTTTTTTTCCCGCCCAGCTGCTGATGTATACATCTGCATGTGTGTGTGAGCTCATTTTGTACTTTAATCGCTTCGCAATCAGAGATCAAATCCTCCGTCCGACGCCGGCCGTCGTTTGATCCCGCAGAGCAGACGTGTGGCTCGCGGTTCCAGCGGCGGGGCTCATTTCACCGTGTTTACTCCCGTCGCCGCCTCATTCGATAAACCAGAGCGAGTGCACTCAAAAAAGAGCCCGCGTGGCTTCGCGCGGTATTAATGAGCAATCAATGGGCCGTAACCGGAGCCGCTTCTGCATCGGCGTTGCGGTCTGAAGGCGCGAGGCCGCGGTGAGGCCTCTACATCAGTCGCTATACCAGCAGTGAGGGTGGGACGTGTTTAGGAGGTGTGTGTAACATGCACACACACACACACACCGGACACCCGTAATATTGTGCCGGTGTGTCCGCACCACTTCCCAATGACTCCATTAGAGGAGGAGGTGCAGCATTAGCGGTGAGCGCTGGTCCACAGAGGCCGGTAAGGATCGAAAAGGCTTTGAATTAAGTTCAGTAACACTTTGTTTTTCTTTCTGTCGGCGTCGGTTTCCAGGTCGCCAATCAAGTGGTGCAGGCGCTTCTCACCCAGAAGGTTTGTTTCCGCCGGTCAAATGCCATCAGAAACGTGCTCTGCGGGCTTGTCGGTGATGACGTGCGGATGTGCTTTCCTCGCTCAGGACCTGAGGGAGGAATGTGTGAAGCTGCGGACTCGAGTCTCTGACCTGGAGCAGCAGAATCGGGCGCTGGGAGTTCTCTTCCAGCAGCGCATCAAGCCCGCCTCGGACCTGCTCCTGCAGGTACGCCGCCCGTTCACACCAGGGAAGGAAGTTCTGGGTTGTTATCAACCTTCTCTGAGCTCTCAGCTGACGACACTGACTACAAAACTGATCTTTTATACCAACCCAGATAACAGAAGAGAAGCCTTAGAGCACGGATCGCTTGTTGTTTGTGTGTGTTTGTCGTGCTTGCTGGTTCAATCTGAGGTCGTATTGAGGTTTATTTTCGTGGTTTAGTGAAGCAGGTCACACATTTAACTGTTAACTTTTTAGTTCCACCGAGCGGAACTAAACCACTTCCCCCCCAAATCACAATAAAACGTATAGTTGTAGTTCTGTGAACCAGCGTCCATCATCTCCTCCCTGTAATCATCACACAACAGCCGCGGCGTTCATATTACCCACAAAGCCCCACGGTGACTCGGCTCCTCTGATTGGCCGCTTTGAAGACTCCACTCCAGCGAGAAATGTTTGTGTGCGTTCCAGCTGGATCTTAGAGGCGCAATTACGAGACACGCGGACCTGTGCCGCCATGCGATTCCCCCCCCCCCCCCGTCTTTTGTGATGTCGCATTGAACGGCAAGAAGGTCACGTCTGGAAAGGAGGGCTTCACATAAAAGGGGTAAATTCCGGGGGTCCTCGCTGTCGATACGAAAATAGCAAGCTGCCAGAAGAGAGACGAGGGAGCCGTGCGTCCAGTCGAGGCCAGAGGGGAGAAAGAGGAGAGAGGATGAAAGGAGAGCCAGCCAGGGTAGATAAGGGAGGAAGGACAGAGGGGGGGTGAGACCAGAGACCAGAGACGAGTTAAAAACAAGGAGGGCAGGAACGGAAGAAACGCTGAGCCCAAAGAGAAAATAGAAATAATAAGGCTCCTGTGTGTTGTAAAGCTCTCAAAGTATCAGCCGTCATTATTGGACGGGCGGGAACATGTGACGTGAAGCTGCACCAAGGAGGTGCTGGAGCTGCATTAACGCTCTGCAATTATGAGCGCCCCCGTCTCCAGCTGTTAAAGCGTCCGTCTTCATCTCGCCGGAACTCGTGACAGAACACAGGGAATATTCCGTATTTCATCCGCCCATCTGTGAACCAAGAGCATGCATTATGAAAGCGTCCAATGAATGTAGCAGCGGCTCAAAGCGCGTAGGCAGATCAATGCCACTTGCCGCCATGTCTTTATGCTAAACACAAAGAATCCTGCAAAGCACCACTTTTAAATCCCGTGCTTATAAGTTCCTCCGCAATAAATCATCATCCAAAATGACTCATGAAAGGAATCTAAGTCGATACAGAGAGGAGGTCCGAGTTGGATGAAATATAATGTGTTGTTCAGCTTTAGAGGTTCGCTTCGCTAGCCGACTGCCGATATCTGGGAATTAGTTGCACCATTATTACGCTGTGCAGCATCATTTTGAGTTCGTCCCGGTCACACACATGAGCGTAATCTGGACCTCTTTGCTTATCAGGCGATTAGTTCCTCCGAGGCGTCTCCACTTTCTCTGATAACGAACCGTGATGCTTTTAACGGCAGCCACACCAGTTGTGTGCCTTTGCTCCCCCCTCAGCTGAATGCTACGTATTCATTTCACAAAAGTCTCCCATTCTCTTTCAAAATAACCTCGGGGCCCCGAAGCTCGTCGCCTCCGGTGCCTCTGTGTAGTTTGTGCACCCAAACGTGCTGCTTGCATTGGCCATCAGCTCACGGTTTCTGTGCAATAAAACAAACGTCAAACCAATTAATTACAGCAAATTGCAAATTGAAACTAATTGGACCCTTGAGGTGTTCTTCGATGGATACCTGAGCCTCGTCTTGTCACATCGCCGGGCCGGGTGAAGCTGGAGCCTTTGGGGAAGCCTTAAGTATGGATTGGGTCACACAGGTGGAGGTCTTGTCTTTTCTCTCTGACTGCAGGTGTGTGGATTCGTTCAACGAGGTTTTTGACAGCGGGCGGCGATGCTGACGTACGCGTAGCTTCTATTTATTACCTTGAAACATGACCGGCGTGGAGCCAAAAAGCAGCGAGGAAGCAGGAAGCCTCGTGCTTTTTCTTCCTCGTGACACAACAAGCCTGCAGTGTCTTCCACACTGATGGATATTAACCAAGTTATTAATATACCATGGTCTTGCAAGCATTCATTTATGACTTTGATCTTGGCCTTGAACCTCAAAAGAGGGTCGCAGCCTTGTCATCCGCCGTCTCCTCCCCGTATCTCCCCACCGCCGCGACCCCGTGACACTATCGACTGAATCCCTGATGAGGGTGCTGAGGAGGTGAAACTCGGCACCCTGCGATAAGATCAGAGCCTCGGCGTGACACCCCATCCACTCCCACCCCCCCGTGTGGGCAGCAGGGAGCCATCACAGCGCCACAGATTTCCGTTTCATGACTTTAGGACGGGCACGGGAAGCCAATGCAGCGTTTAAGGTTCAAAGAGCAATGTTGAGGAAGCTTTAGAATTAGACTGATGGTACTAGTAAGTAAGTTCAACATCAAATTAAAGAGGCGTCCATGTGTCCTTGTGTCCACGTGAGAGACACGTCTGGTCCACATGGTCGCAGGAGAAGCTTTTTTGGGCGTTTAGCTGAAAGTCTAGATGAACATTAGAGGGCTTTCTAACCAAATGTTCTGAGGACGTCTTTCACAACAGAGGAAATAAAATCAATAGGAACTGTGAGCGGTGTGTCATGGAACGCAATAAAAGGGAGGATGGATCTGCCGTTGTGTATTTTGAAATGGTTATGGCTTTGACGGAAGATCGGTTTTCAAAGCTCGGTCTCCGTTTGGAGAAGGTGACTTTCTCTTTTATCACATGCACTTTTCTTGAATTCCTTTTTTTAAAATCTTTTCTACTGCTGCAGTTCAACAGAAAAGCATTTCATTTTGACGCTAGAAACTGAGAGTGGAATTTATTATAGCTTAGAAATACACACACGTGCATACTCGTAGACTCCAAGTGAGGATTTGTTTTTGTCCTTGGCAGGAAACGTAGCAGAAGTTGGAGTGTTATGTTTGGGCACATTTCCCTTTTAAGTTCGTTTGAGCGCAGAGAATCCGCTGTAATTAAGTTCTGAGATTAATACGTGGGGATGTGTTCAGTTTTGTATCCTTCCCTCCTAAGCTGAAGAAGAGACTGCAGACTAGCATATGAATTAAAAAAAGGTCTGAGGATTCCCTTACTCCCTGATGCAATTATTTCCTTTTCACATGTTTTTTTTTTTGTTCCCGGCCGATGACATTAATGACTTTGGGCGTATGAATCGGGGCGCCGCTGGATCGGACGGGTGAACGTTCTCATCCTCCACACACTGTGCAGCCTTTTGAGACGAGGCCAAATAAATTCATTTTTATCGCCATTTGAGAGATTTACTTTAGGGAATCACTGACGGTAAAGATGTTTCAGGTATTAAATTTAATCACTTTATTTGAATAAACGGCACCATCTAAGTCTTCTCTGGGCACCTCACCAACATACTATGTGCTGAACATATTGGTCGATGGTAAAAAAAAAAAAAAAAGGAAAAAAATCCCCCGACCGCTCGACTGATGTGTCGTTTCAATTTCTGGAAATCCCTGCAGTGAAAATTCAATCTGGTGTGTCCTTCCTTGTGCCTTTCAGAAACTTCACTCTCGGATCCTGGATCTGTCTGCGGCAGATTTGCTTTTGGAGCCAGAGAGAAGCAAGGCGTTCTTACTTTCCAGGAATACCGACTCCCCCTCCAGCGTGAGCTTAACGGAACGCGTGCAGCAGGCAATGCGTTTATTTCTTTTTTTTCGGGTTAAGCCATATGAATCGTCCAAGTTGCAAAACCCGCAACTCCCCTCGAGAAATCATTAGGAGATATTAAAATACAGACGTAACTAGCCGAAGCTGTGCCCCTCCTGGTCTCTCTGCGGGAAGGGCTGGCAGTATCGCGTGGCACTAAGGGGAATAAATCCTTGTCATATTACCAGATATCCATCGATTGACTCGGCATCAGTAAAAAAGGACTCCATAGGATACTGTGGTACATTAGTCACCTTATGTATTATGCATTACGTCTTGAAAATGACTTATTTTACCCTTTTACCCCTCTGAGAAAGCCATCTGATAAACTCTAATGTGTGCCTTTGAGAGTGGGAGAGGAGGCAGAAATGTATTGATTCATAAATCACCTCACCTGGATGTCAAAGGTATCGGAGCTCTCTAAATAGGTTGCATTTGGTGACGAGCACAAGGGACGCTTATATGACATGAGTGAAACATCTTATTCCTCATCTTGCACGCAAGAATAAAACACCTTGCACGGTCAGATCCTCTGCAGCACGAGAGAAACATCCGCTGTGCTCCGACGACTGCACGTCAAAATGATTTCAGCTGTTTTTAATCGCTCTGTCGAGTCTTTCTTAACTACTCTTCATCACAAAACGAACAGCGAGGTAACAATTAGACGCGCCTCGCTACCCGAGAAGCCGCACGTCAAATACTGTCACAGTTAAGAGTCCTCGCTGACTGCATTGTGCTCAAAGTCGTATTAACGCCTCTCTCCTCTCTCGCAGGAGGTTCAGTTGAATGGAAAGGCAGGTCTCCCTGTGGCCAAGTGCCTGAGCCAGCTGAGCCTGACGGCGCCCGCGTACCCACGCAGCAGCTGCAGCAGCAGCGAGATGTCCCTGTCGAGCGCGTGCAGCGAATTCTCCAGCGGCTCCTACACCTGGAATGATGGACGCTCCTGTGGGAAGATGGTAGACCCGCCTCACAGTAGCCGTGGTAGTACGGCAGCATTGTGGAGACGGAAATAAGAAAGTATCTTCGTGACACGATGCTTTGCTTTTCATCCTGCAGTCGTCGCTGACCTGGGAGAACAGGCTGAGTTTGGGTTCCTCGGCGCCGAGTAACATCTGTGCCCCACCGGAGGAGCAGCTGCCCCCCACGAGGCGCAAGGAGAGCAACATACTCGAGGGACTGAGGAAGCTCCAGAGGGGGAAACACAGGAGCTCCTCTGCCTCGTCCAAGGTTTCCAGGTCGGCCGACAAGGACTGCATGAACTCAAACGAGGGCATCTACTCCCTGGGAATAAAGAGCGGCAGCAAAGGGGTCTCCAAGCCTACCCATGTGGTTAGAGCTTTAGCCACTGGGGGCAAGAAGTTCTCCTACGATTCTGACGATGCCGATGATGAATTGGCTCATTCCAGTCGAGCGGACGACATCCCCACGAAGGACGGCTGGTTTTACTGCAAGAGGCTCTCCCGCAGCATCTCAGACAGTTTGTGCAGCTGGGAGGGGCTGCAGGACAGCGGAGGTGACTGCAGCCCAGGGCCGGGGGCTTTAAAACGCCGCCCTGGCTGTGGCTCAAAAGAGCGTCCCGAGAAACTCCTGAGTTTCATCAACAGTTTTCTCCCCGAGGGGGGGAGGAAATCCGCTTTCACGAAACCACCCGTGCTGCACTTCAACCCCTCTGACCCGGCGGGTCCAAACCCCCTCTCTGACATGGAGGATTCTGAGGAACTCAACTCAGAGTCTAGTGACATCCGAATGTCCTCCAGCCAGCCACCGGAGCGCGCAGAGACGGAATCCAAGAGGCCGTCACGAGACGCTGCCAAGCTCCTCGCACAGCAGTGGTTGCGAAGGGAGCAGGGACGCACCCAGTCTGCAGACGGGAGGCCGAGGCCTTTCTGTCTCGTTCAGGAGCCCAACGGGGAAAAGTTTGCTCAGTCGGAGGAGAGCGTTTTGGCAATATTTGATGCGGAAGGAGAGCCTATTGAACTTTGTGCTCAGAAGCTCGCAGCAGGTGCTGGGCCACAGAATGACGCGCAAAGTGGCAAAGCAATGGCCGATTACGCAGAACTGTGGCCAACGAGGCAAAAATCAGCAAACGCAAGAAACTACACGGTCCTTGAATCGCCGGAGAAGCCGTCTGAATACCTAATAAACAGAGAGGGCAGCGCAGAAAGGGCGTCAATGCAGCTGACTCCACAAAGGAAACTAATCAAACCCCCAACCAACCGACCCAATAAGGGCCATTGCATTCCTCCCGTGAACGACTCTGTTGCTCCACCGCCAAGTGCTTCGAAGATACCCGGTCGAAACAAACCTGTAGGATCGCCGCTGAGATCGTCTAAGGGCTGCTCCACCGAACCGAGCGGAAACTCCGGAGCCACCGGTCAGGAGAAGTCCTCCTCCTCACACGCAGTTAAAATGCCCAGGTTCGTCAAAACGCCAGGCCCAAAGGCCGTGAGCTCCAAGCTCCCCAGCAGGGCCGAGAGGAGGAAGGGCTCCTCCTCCAGCTCCCCTCGCCTGTCGAGGCGGCACCTGGAGTACGGTGACAACGGCGAGCAGCCAACCAGAGACAAACACTGTGAAACCAGCAAAAACAAACTCAGGTCCCCTTCTCCGCCCCCTCCCCCGGGCCGCACCACCTCCTTACTCATCAGACCAAATTACGAAGCGTCGCCTCAAGCACATAAAACATGGGCGGCTCAAACCTCCACGCTAACCACTGTGAGGGGCCCTCCTCCAAGCTACCACACCTCACTTGTACCAAATATGCAAAGCACGCTACCCATCAAGGATAAAGACTGTTTAGACTTGGACGCGGGCTACGGGACTGCACTCGCACCTCAGAAACTGGTTGAGAAAAGCATTCAGCACCTTCAAAAGCTCCCCGCCACGACGCAGGCGACGAACAAAGGCACTTCCAAGAGGATGACCGCGAAAGACTACCTCCCTTCTGCAAACTCAGGGTGTGCTCCAGAAACTGACAATGCACCTAAAAGCTCAAAGAATGTCCCTCCTCCGTACAGTGCCCTGAGAGGGTCCTCGCTCCTAAACTCCTTCGCAAGTAAAAGAGGATCAACCCATGAAAATGTCCACGAGGCCGTGCAGAAGACCTCTATTAGTTTACCCATATCGCTTCAGGACACCGCTCAAGGTAAAACAGAACCCCAAAGGGGCAAAGCAGTTGTCAGTCCGCCCAGTCCAGTCGTGATCTCCCCCAACAGCGCCGAAAAAGCCTCAAAAACTCGCATCCCGATGGGGTTTAAAGCTTTTTTAAAATCTCCTCCGAGCCATCAAAATAGTCCCTCCACACCAGGAAAGCTAGAGAAAGATCATATCAACTCAGTTTCCAAGGAGACTGTGACTTCAAATGCCTCTACCCAGTACGAGAGTGTGCAGTCGGTGTACAGTATTGATGCATCATCCAAGACGTCCGTGTCAGAGGCGAAGGGTGATGTCCAGTGTAGGTTAGCGGATGATAAAGTCCATGCTTCTGGGTCGCCAGAGGAGGAGGCTTGTGGGAAAAGGAGCAGTCAGCTTTTCTCTAGATCCATATCCGTTACTACCAAACCCCATCTTAAGCCGGCCTTGGGGATGAATGGGGCCAAAGCGAGGAGCCAGAGTTTCAGTACCAACTACATTGAGAAACCGAACATCAATGTTCTCGATGGGCCGGGGAAAATCCGCACTCAAATCATCACTAACTCGGGGGAACGGGGAAACTCTTTGTCAAGGCAGACTTCCTTGGAGGTACCAAGTGTTGGGGAGAGCCCCGTACATTCCCCCAGGACGAGGCTCAGCCACTACGGAGGCATGACCGGCTCCAATAGCCAGAACGTCCTGCCTGAGATAACTTCTAAGTCGGGCTCCAAAGGTGACGGGTCGCAGGGCGCGGCGAAGGGGGAGACCTCCGCCTCACCATCTCAAAAAGCGGCGCGTAGCTTACCCAGCGGTGACAGGATTGGCTTGAGCAATGTTCGTAAGGCGGCGAAAGTTGCATCTCATCCCCAATTTCTCGCTGCCGCCTCTTGCGTCTATCGGCCGGAAAATCCAGCGCGAGAGACGGAATGCTTACAAACAACCGGCGACGAGCCGGATTCTAGCAGGGAAGTCAAACCCCAAGCAGACTCTGTGGACACGGAGGAGAGGAAAACCAGCCCGACGGTCTGCACCATCGAAGAAAAAGTCATGATGGGAATTGAAGAGAATTTGCAGAAATGTCAAGAACAGGTGAAAGTAGCTGCCAGCGAGACCAAGCAGAAAACGGGCCCCTCTCTGGCAAACTGGTTCGGCCTCCGCAAGAGCAAACTCCCGGCTCTGAGTGGCAAGAAGGCAGACCCCCCGAGGGGCAAAGAGGACAAGAAAGAATCAAAGATTGGATCCGTGCTGGCGGGAAAAGCGATGAAGTCTGACAAGAGGAAGGATAAGAAGAAGAATGATAGCCAGCAGAGGGACAGTGTGGAGGGGCAGAGTCTGTCTGAGATGAACAATAAACTGAGCACCATCATGGATCACTGCAACAATCAGATGGGTCAGATTGCCAGTCAGATCCAGTGTACGACGGCCTTCATCGGCAAAGACCAGTTTGTGAAAGAGCTTCTTGGCAGGTGGGTGCCATCACGTACAACCCGGAACAAATTACCTTCAGTTGATCGGATGCCATGCTGATTACTTCCTGCTTCTGAGCCTTCTCCCTGTTCTATTAAATCAAACATGAGCCACCGATGCATTATGATAAATAAACAGCGGCTGAGTCACCGAGTGCTGACTGCACTCCTGTGAGCTTTCAGCAGGCTCTCCGGCCGGCACCAGACGAGCAGTCGGCCCACTTCACGCCAAAAAAAATCAAACCTCTTCTTTCTTGCAGGACTGCTGTGAAGAGCAGCTGTGTGTCTGCGTCGCCGCCCGGCATCTCCACACCCAGGAAACGCGGCGAAGGGATGGGAGATATGGAGATCTGTGCAGATACTGCTGTAAGTCAGCGAACATGCCACCACAACAACAGCAGCAGTTGCCGCGCACACAGACACACACACACACAAGCTGATTCCCACAGGTTTTCACACTGGTACGTGTTCACAAACACATCCACCGCAGCGCCGCCTCTTCACCATCGCATCCCCCGAAGCCTCGCTATTGATTCACATCGTGCTTTGACTCGGCCTGCAACTCATTTCCAACTATTTTCAGAATCCAACCAGACCAACGTTGTTGTTGTTGTTTACTTAGGGTCGGGGTTAAAACCTCTCACACAGAGACGGCGACGCTTAAATCAGGCGTCTTTCAGCGACTCCTTTCTTTGAAACACATCCGAGCGCTTCATGAGCGAATTGTGACCTTGTGTATTAATTCCTTGGTAACCGCCGGATGACAGACAGCTCGAAAACTGAAAGTATAAGGAAGGGGCTGAATGTAGGAAGAGCATCGCACAAAGAGAGCCTCGCTGCATAATGTAGGACATTTAATCCAGAAGATGTGGGATTCTGATAACGTGGACGAGCCTGTTATCGCAGCCACTCAATTTGACAAAGGAGCCATTTAAAAACCATCCTCCAAGCTTTGCCTCTATCTTCTCCCCACGGAGATACAACAAAGGAGGAGCGCTTCATGACCTACCAGCTCCATCTCTTCTACCACCACAGAACCACTTAAGAAAATAACCCAATTAAAGTCAGGCAGGAAAGTACTACGATTGCAGTACTTCTTTTTGAGCAAAACATTTTACACAACTCCGGAAACCCATAGTCATAGAAGACATAAATCTGAACGAGCTGTAAGGGATCCTTTGGCTTTTTTCCTTTGCAAATTCAACAAAAGAAAGAGGTATAAAATGGATAAACGTTGGTTCAAGGAGCCTTATGTACGGTATATTGTGGTACATCTCAGCCGCTAAACGCAGGTTTTTCATCACACTCTAGACCCTGTTGATGACTCAGAAGATCAGCCTGAGGGCTGAAAACGAAGAGCGGCGCATCCCAGACTCGTCCTGCCAAGACCACATGATAGGTAAAGCTTTCGCTTGACCGTGGGTCCTAAAGGGACGTCTTGTGTGCATCACTCCTTTTTACGGCTTTTCTCTATTTACCTCTATATCTAAAAGCCCGGAGCTTCACCCTTGCGAGTGGTTCCTTCGCCCAGAACAGCTTAGAAAAAGCTGTCACCAACCAGGAAAAATCAACCAGTCCAACGGAGCGTGCGCGCAGTTTTTTTTACAGTTGTGATTTCCTGATGTGACCGAAGACTCAATTCCTCTGCCGACTGAATCCCATCACCGCCAGACTCACCGTTACTGCGAGGGGGGGGGGCAGCAGCCGTAAAAACAACAACAGCTATTAACAAACCCCCGATCAGATGATTGATGTGCAACCAGGTGGTGTTTGTAAGACGGGACGGTGACAGTTGTTACTGCAGTGCGTCGCATTTTGTAACTCAGGTGGATGCGCTGCTTACTGCACCCATTTTGACATCTGAGAAACGCTTCATTGGCGCTGTTCATATGTAGAATATTCTCACTTTTCTTGTATTCTTCACAAGGTAAACAATCTCTGTAGAACCAGAAGCTGAATAGAACATTTATCTGAAAGGTTACTTAACAATGTGTCACATTAACTAAATATTTCAGAGCGTTTTAACGCCAGACAAACGCATCAATCATATAAATACTTTACATCCAACAGCCAGTTTATGAGCAAAATCAGAGTGACAAACTCAGACTTTGAAGTTCTCTCTGCACTGGTCAGTTATTGCATATTAGCAGGAACCCCCGGAGTAAAAGGACGATGAATGAGCCTAATATACCTGCAGGAGTTTGACAGCGGTGTTGATCAATACCAATTATTGTGCATTATTGTGTCACAGCCTGCTGATGCTTCTGGATTTGAAACTTACTTTCTACTCGGTTTTGGAAACACACAGCCAGGAGACGAAGCTAAAGAAACGGCACAGAGGCGGCGTGGTGGGCGCCGGATAATAACACCCTGGAGGTTGTGTACAGAAGTGATTGGGCGCTCATGAAGAACTGCCTCGTGTCCCGTTGCTGTTGCCTCTGGGTGGAATCACTGTGCACCACGTTATGGTTTGTTTCAGGGGGCTTTTCGACCGGCAGACTCGGCGTGCAATTATAACGCAGCGTGATCTGCGGCGCTCTCCGGCTTTTTCTTTTTCTCGCCCACACAATAATAAGCAGGCGTCGAGCCGGCCGTCCTGGGGTGACATTCACAGGTACAACGCACCTTTTGAATAGAGTGATCCACAAACTGCCTTTAGATTACATCTAAGAGGGCTGTTATGTGGTTTAAAGCTTCCCCCATCTGATAACCTTCATGTTTCATTTAACCCGTTCTGGATGTTTATTATGTAGATCTTAATATCAATGGGAGACGGCTGTTTCAAACAGTCCGTCTGTGCAATGATCACGTTGTATTTGAACACGCAAACACTGAGGACTCATTTTAACAGCTCCTCCACGCGCAGTATGGTCCACGCGTAAAAGCAGAACGCCATCTGCAGAACTATTGGCTGCGCTCTGGCGTGCAGACGTGAATGCATTTGTTACTTTAGTGCAAATGGATCAACAGTTTGAGCTTCAGACTCAAATGTAAATGCGATCCGCCTTGATTCTCAGAGAGAGAGTAGACTGTGTTTCTGCTCCGACCTCCCAGAGGGACGACACAGCTGAGGAGCAGAGCCCGTCCACATGGATCCACACGGGTCTGCTTTCACTCACAGACGCAACCGGTAGCTTCAGAGGAGTAACAGTGTGCGACGTAGCAATGAGTCATTTGAATCTGAACAGAGACGAGACCTCTCACGCGCACAAAAAGGGCCCTGAGCTGAGCTGACCGTCCATCTGTTGCAGGCCTCTGCTCACTGCGGCTGCCCAACCGCATCCATCTGTTGCTCCTTGCTGTCCTATTTCCGCCGATTGCCACCCGGCGTGCACGCCGACGGATCTGAGGCCTCGGCTCCAATGTGTTCATTTGTCGAGGGTTTGCTGGCAGCAGGCACTTTCTTAGCAGATTGGAATTGTGCGTCTGTTGCTACCACAAGTGCTACAAAGGGAACATTGGAATGAGTCGGAGCCACGACGAACGGTTACCTGCAATCGCTGAAATATAACAAATAAAACGCTGTCTTTTCTCTTTTTCCCCCCTACACGTGTTGGTGAACCTCCTGCAGACGCCCTCTTCACTCACAACCCTTTCCGTTGCATGTGAATCCAAGCCTTTCTTTACCTGTGTCGCCGTCCCCCTGCTTCTCCCGGACATCACGCTCCTCTCCCTGTCCCTGTAGGCTCCGGCTGCCAGACCAGGACCCTGGACAGCGGCATCGGCACCTTCCCGCTCCCCGATTCCGTCACCAGGGCCGGCGGTCGCCACGTCCCCAAATCAGAGTCCAGCCCGGACGTGGCGACCGCCGGCTCCTCCGATCCGCACCGGGAGCCTTCCTCTTCTCCCCCGGACCCCTCGCGACCCGACGTGACAGTGCCTTTCCTCCCCAAAACCTACCCGCATGCCCCTACCGGCATGGGTCACTCCCTGTCCGATCCCAGCGTGACCCGCAACGCACGGGACGCCCAGAGCCGCCTGCCCAAATTGGCTTCTCCAGGTACGTCGAGAACGTTAATAAAACCGGGAAGTTAGCTGGTAAACTTTGCATTTAATGCTAAAATCATCGTCCTCAGCCAGTCGCTGTTTGATCTTTGATAAAGGGAATGTAATGCGCTGTTTGTAAAAGCAATTAACGATGATGCAGCAGGAGATCTTAAATGTCACCGTACTTGATGCGAACACATTTCCCTCCAGACAAGGCGCCAGACAGGAGGAAGTCGTCGGCTTTGTCCGACACTCATTAAAACGCAGAACCGCGTTTGCTCAGCTAACGTCAACCCTGACGTCTGCTAACAGACGGGCCGCACGCCGCAGAGCGGCCCCCGGTGCGAAGGTGGCGCGTAGGATGGTGCTCATAAGCCACAATAACAACCAGGACTTTATCCTGCGTCTCCCTGTCGTGTCCCCCCCCCCCCCCGCGGTGCGAGTCAATTAAAACGGGCCCTGTGCATCCTTGTCGGGGGTTTGGGCTTTCAGTCTTTTTTATCATCACCAGAGGCTTCGCCCCCATTTTGCTTCCTAATAAGACGGGGGGGGGGGGGGGGGGGGACTTTTATGTTACTGATGCAGAATCTTTCACGCGGCGATGATGGCCAAAAGCGGGCTGTTGTGGTAATGAAGCTCAATGTTAAAAGGGACGGTTGAATTGGCGGCGGTCCGAGACAGCAGTAGGCGGCGTGATAATCAGATGCTGCCCGTGCCGCTGAAAGCTGTTAGATCTGACCTGCCAGGAGTCATGGCGGGGGACAGTGGCGGGCTGGACAGCATTAATGTTTGATGGCCCCGGTTATTGTGCAGCTCATTCGATATGTGCAGGCGAAGTGATGTGTGTGCAGTAGCAGGCGTTGCTTTGATGATGATGTTTTCCCTCTTCTCTCCGTCTTGTTTGCATCGCATTATTAAGTGGTCATAACAGAGAATGCCAAACCCATGACTCCTTTCTCTTTGGCCTCTTTGGAATCACAGATTCAATCCAAACCAAGAGGTTGAGTCTCTGCTCTCCACGCAGCGACTCGATCTCCAGCGGGGACAAAGAGAGGGGGGCAGAGAGGACGATGACAGCCCGGGATCATGAAACGTCCCGTGTACGTCGCTTACGTCGTGATGTGCAACAATCTGATCAGTATACATGTGTTCACCATTGTTTGACAGCTTTTATGGCGTTGTCTTTTTTTTTTTACCATAAACAGGAAAGAGACCCGCAAGTGGCCACATACTCGGGGAGCAGCAGCGACACAGAGACCGAACCCGAAGGACCCGGAGGCCGTCCACCGAGGAGCCCGATCGACCGACTGAAGAAGCGCGACTCTGCAGGTCTGCCCGAGTCCTTTAAACCGCCAAAACCATTCCGGCCGCTCCTCCACTCATTTCCGGCGCTTTATGCTCCGAACCCTCACAGCGGAGCAGAACGAGGAGACCCTGACCAGAAGCAGCGTGGAGAAGTCCTTGTCCATCATGGACTACTACCAGCACGAGATGTTTTCTCCTGTGGAGAAGGACAGCCGGCGGATCTCCCAGTACAACCTGTTGCACAAGGAGCGCTCGCCGGACGGGAGAGCGGGCGACCGACTCAGTGTGAGTGTTTAGGACGACGCTTTACAGGTTTACAGCCCGACATCGAAATGAGAAGAAGCTTTTATTCAACACCAGCTGCTCACGTTGGTGTTTTGACTGATTCTCACAGGTTATTTTGACCATCTGACTGGGTTCTTCTCGAGTGAATCAGCATGTTATGAAGAGGATGAATGTGTGGAAGAGTTAGAAAAAAACGCAGCTTCCCTTTACTTCAAACCCAAAGGTTTTCTTTGCTGATTTTGGAAGAAAAAAAGCGGCCTAATTGCTTTCGATCACCTTGCCCTCTTGTGTCGGCGGGTATTTGCTTATTAGTATTTAACGAAGCCAAATGACAAATGAGGTCAGAGACCATGAAATGGCCTCCAGCGTGCCCGCCGGTGTGGGACAGCTAAACTTTCCTCTCACACTGCTGCTGCTCCAACAGGACACAAAATCTATACCCTGAAAAAGGATCCAAATAAATCCAGTTAAAAAAAAAAGTGTGTACGAGCGGAGAGAAAAGCTGATTATCTCTGTGTTCTTATCTCGTGTCTGCTCTACGCCGACCCTCTAGAGACTCAATCAGTGTAACAGCTCGCTGATACGCAAGTATGAGCTCCGCCTGGGCTCATGATCGGGTCAAGTCCTGGGGTCATCAACACGTTTGTCCTTTGCAAAGTGACTCTAATGCAGAAGTGCGTTGAGCTTCTCTCTGGTGGCATTCGGGGGGGGGGGGGGGGGGACCCTTCTTCCTTCGCTGTGAAGCGATGACGCCGTTTAGCCAACGTTATATCATCTGCATGTCACAACCTTGACTTGGGGCGGCGGCGGCGGCGGGGGGGGGGGGGGGCAGTTTCGGGGATGTTTGGTGGCTGGAAGCGAGGCGGAGCCCGGTGATTTAAGCGCCTTTAATAACCTTTCACAAACACTCAGGAGAGTGATGCGGAGCTCAGCGGCTCCCATCGGAGGCCTCACAGCCAGCGTCGGCCTCCCATTCATCATCCTGACAGCACCTGACAGCCCCCCCCCAACGCAAACCTCCCCCCGGCCCCCCCCCACTCCTATCGTCCCAGCCCTCAGAGTCTCCCTGTCACCCATGTGTCTTTCTAGTCTATCTCGTATCCTGTCCCTCCAGTAGACGCCTCTCATCAGATGATCTCTGTTGTTTTACTCCTCGATTATTCATATATCCCGCCTGCGTCATGTCGTCTGCGTTAAGCAGAAGTAAAGCTGCGTTGAGAGCTAGGAGAAGATTCCCCGTGGTCATGTGATCGAGCATGCACAGCATCAGGAGCATTTCAGCCGAGATGCAATTTGAACTAGAACCCAAAACTATATCAGTGCACAGACAAAGGCCAGCAGCTTCTGAAAATATAACATATATATTTCTGAACAGATTGGTAGCGTTGCTACTGTGACATCAACCCAGAAATACGATGCCAGCGATCAAACCATTTTCAGAATGAGGGTGGGGAAGATAATAACATCTTGCATTTCAAAGTGAATTCAGAATCCTTCTCGGTCTGCACGATAGGATGGAATTACATTCATTTTAGGTCACAATTCTAGCAACAACAACAACTATTACAAATGGAACTTCTTTCTCCTGACTTTGGATTTGTCACCTTGGAAGAAAAACACCAATATTTAAAAATATAGTTGTGAAATAGGATTCTAGTAATCTGGGCAGCGTTCCACTGCCGTGCTTAATTAAGGATCAACCTCCACACCTGCAAAGACCTATTCAATATTTTACACCATGTCACCTTTGTGCACAATCTCTCTTTTGATTCGGCCCTCTTTACAAATTTATTGTGCTCGTGCCTGCAGGGAAAGGTCACCTCGGCGAACATTAGGGGGCTTCGGTTGGGATTTTAAAAAGGGAAGGTCCATTCTGCATGAAAGTAGTATGAGATGAGTAGGTGTTTTTCCACAGTTAACTTTGGGATTCAACCTGTGAAGTTTGAGGGGAGGGTAAATTATGCAAACTGGCATTGTTATTTCATTCACTTCTATTACGTTTTCCATCAAAAATATATTTTCTTTTTCTCTGAGCCTCAATAAAGCAGAATCCTGTGAATTTATTAGACATTATATGAAAGGGTCGTCCTTCCTTGGACGATGCTTCTCATACTAATGAATCCTGCTGCTTTAATCTCTCCCCCCCCCTCGCTGAATGGTTTACACCTGGACTGGCAGGTGAATGCAATTAACCGGCTGGTGGGAGAAGAAACCAAGCGGGCTGCAGCCCCTGGAGGAACATCTCTCCACCTGCATGAACCTTGTCAGAGAGCATTAAGGGCAAAGCAGGGAAGCTGCAGGTGAAGGACCAGAATCACACAGCACGGCCTTTGGGACGAACAAAGCCGGACAGCAAAGACCACGGATTCATAACGACAGTCAACAGGCCTCATGTCAGACAGTTCACTTAAGCTGCAGGAAAACCCAAAGTTGGAGCTGTTTGAAATGGATTTATTTATTTTGTATGATCATTTTTTGGTTGGTAAGGACCATAAAACAGCGCATGGACATTAAATGAGTTAGAAATAGAAATAAATCGTTGGCAGTAGCTGTTACAGTCAGACAAGAGCACATTATTTCTCTCCTGAGCAAATGAGAGAAAAGATTCCTTCTGTTGACAACGACGTGTCACTCATGACTCCGGTAACTTGTCAGATGGAAGAACGCCTGCAGGTGCCATTACAACAAGCCTCTACCGCTTCGATTCCCCGCGGATGGGGTTTGTGAGGCGGCGGTTCTGGGTTCAGGTCTGGAGGGAGATGCACCTCGCAGCAACATTCTAAGTGGTCCGGGCCCGGAGGCCCCCCCCCGAGGTTTCCTCTGGCTCTTCCTCTGTGTTCTCAGAGCTGCCAGAATACCTGTGCAGATAACTGCTGTCGCTTCTGCACAAAGACGCTGCCACTCAGAGAGCCTCGTGCTCAGCCTCTGAGGACGGATGTCGATGCTGATCGCTTCAGTAACGAGCTCCCGGAGGGGGGAGTTGGGGGGGTGGGCGGGGGTCTTCGGGGCTTACGCTATCAGGAAGAATACTCAAATAGCTGCTCCATCACAAACAACACCCGAATATCCTCATCCGTGTGCCAATCCGTCGTCCGGGGACTCACGGCGCCAAAAGGAACAGATGGGTCACACTGTTGCCTTAAAGGCCACGAGACACCAACCCAGTGATGACAATCGCATTCCGCTATTTTAATTCCTTAACTGTTGGCTGGTGAAGTCCCCCTAATCAAAAGGCTGCTCGTGCAGACAGCCCACAGCATAAATAAACCGACGCTGTGCTCTTTATTGACGTGCGCTTCTCCCTTTCTCTGCAGAAGGAGGTTGCCATGGAGAAGGCGCCCGTCAGCGCCCAGGCGAGCTCCCTCCACTTCTCCCTGGAGTCCCTGAACGAGCGGGATCACACGGGGCCGGGCAGGGCGGACGGGCCCCCCCCCCCCTCCTCCTCCTCCTCCTCCAGCTTCTCGGGCAAGCCGGCGGCCGATCCCGCGGGCTCCCTCAGCGACTCGCTGTACGACAGCTTCTCCTCCTGCACCAGCCAGGGCTCCAACGAGGCGTAGGTGGCGGCCCGGAGAGGTCGGACCGGCGCGTTGGACACGTCGGGGGGGGTCTCGGGGCCACTTGCTCGTCTCCTGGATGATTCTCATCTCATCCTTCAGAAATACCCTGTTTTTTTTTTTTTTTTAGCATTATCGTTTGCGTCCGCAAGTCCAAACGACTGTCGGCCGCTGTTTGGATCCGGACCACAGCGCGAAGCACTTAGTGGAGGACGGCGACACCGGGGCTTGTGATGGTCCCGCTCAGGCTGAGGTGGACTTTGTCCCTTTTGGAAGTCTTTCTCCTCGTCGTCACAAACGCGACGATTTGTAAGGAGTGTGCGGTGAAGGACGCGCGGGCCCACCGGCGCCTTCGGGGGCGGCGCCGGTGGGCGACTCGGCTGATTGCCGCTGATTTGCATTCCTGTCTGAGAGTAGCTTGAAACCCACAGGGCCGTTTTATGTTTTGCTGCTAAGAACGTCGCCCAAATATTGCCAATGATTGAATGACCACCCACAATAATCCACCTGCTTCATCAATGTCTACTTCTCTTTTTCAAGCCACTTTTTTTTTTTACAAATCACATGATTCCAATTTGCTTTTATTTCTGTAACTTTGCATCCCTTTCAAAGGATGTTGTCTTTGGTGGTGTACTTTTAGGGAACTATGCAGGCCGCAAACAGGAAAACGACCCTTTTCAAATGACTTAAACAATCACTGTTGATCTGAGGAAACTGATTCCGTAGCAGCAGGGGTTCAGCTGAAGAAATGCTCCCATGTGGTACGTAAAGTAGCGCGAGGATCCTTCCCCGCGGGACTGGTACCCGGTGTCGTTGTTGGTAGCTCAGGGAACATGCTGGACTAGATGTACTAGATCACTTTGGGTTTCTCAGTCTCTTCACATCGGAACTCTCCAAACCTCAGTTTTCCTTTTTTTCCCTTTCGTAGTTGTATATTATGTTGTGAATATATATATATATATAAATATATATGAAGCTAATATCAGAATGGGCATTGCTGATTGACGTATGCAAATGAGAAAACACCAACAACAATAACAGATGTAAATTGTTTGCCAATCGTTCATTTATGTAAATTGTTTGAAATAGCATGTATCTTTTCATTATATAGAATTCTTTGGAGGTTGTTGTTTTGAAGCTAAATCTTTATTTTGATCAATAAGAGCTATTACTAAGACATATTTGAACCTTTTAGGTGAAGTAATGCCAAATTTCTACTGGAATTTGACCAGCTGGTGCTAATCAACAGTGTGTGTTTCAATTTTTCTATGAAATTGTTAATATTGTATGAAGAGGACTTGTGTATTTTTCTAGGTGTCCAGTATTTATACCCACATTTTGTACTGTCAGACTGTAGTGTGATTGTCATGCTCCACCTCTCTCCTTAAATGTTCCTGGTTCCTTTGTAAAGAGAAATGGTTACCAGCAGTGTTACTTTGGTAATTATTATTAATGTTATTATTATTACTGTGTGCAATTCTGTCTGTTACGCCAGGCATTAATGCTATATTTTATGTAACTATTTCCTAAATAAATAAGATAAATTTCCTATTTCAAAGAGAGCTGAAGCCGTGTGTAAAAGCTTTCATCCCAAGGGCATCTGGTGCTTTACCTGCGCCTCGCAATCTGTCAGCAGGAGCTGCAGCTCGGTACCGCGCAGGGATTTATAACCATTATTGTCCCTTGATGGGTAATTATGTGCGTGTAGGTAAACGCAATTAGTTCATGAACGCGTGGATGACTTCTCCTTCCCTCAATCAGACGGTAGCGGGCCCAATATGTTGTATTGATCATAGACTATTCAAAGTAAACCGCAGAATGTGATTGGAAACCAGGTTTCTATCTATTATATGGTGTTAATTAAAAAGGAGCAGACAGAAGAGTTAATACAATGATACAACACATGGACTTTAGTCAGAAATGACAAACATTAGTATAGAAATCAGTGACAGTTGGTGGAATTTCTTTGTGGTAGAGCGAGCGAATCAGTTTCAGTAAACATCTCGGTATGATTCAATGCAAACAAGGTATCGAACACGCATTACTACTGTGCAGGTCATTTTTATATATATATATTTGTTGGGGAAACACCCAATCAGTGTGCTCATAAGCCCCACAAACCTTCCGACAATTACTTATTTTGGATAAAATGTTCCTGTTTTCATCCACGTAATCGTTGTGTTTCTTCGCCCCAATCCTGTGTCCGCCGTGCAGCTGCGTAGCGATGTTAGCTTTCCCCAATGAGGCGAGCTCGATGCAGTCATCCGTGTGTGTGCGGTGTTCTCAAACTTTTTTTGGGCCGACAGGTCCTTCATGTCCCCTACTCACAAATCTCTCCACGCTGGATTCTGTCCCTGTTGATTTAAGAAGCGAGCATGGGAAGCTAAACACGGCGTTAGCACGTAGCTAACTAGCCAGCTAAATCTCCCATCTCTTTTAGGCCGCTGATTAGCTAAATGATATGTCGCTCATTTAAATCTTTAATCAGTGATTGGCTAAACTGCTTCTTAGACCCGCCTCTTTTGGGCCTGGCCCGAGCCCACCTGAGACATGCAGACATCGGAGAGGACGTGCAGAAAAAGCATATATTTTGCGCGGATATCTTGTTTTACAAACATTACTGGGTATATTCCATGTTTCCATAGACAATTTGTAAAATGTATTATTAATATATATCTTTTTTTTGTGGCTCAAGGTGGGACCAGGCCCCATGGCCCTCTAGGGGCCACTGATAGAAATGTAAAGCGTCACGCAATGGAAAATACTAAAACTCATTCAATTGAAAACAAGAAATACTACAAGTAAAAACAACAGTAAATGGGTCTAATAGTTGCTACAACATAAGAGAGATGCTATATGTCAACTACCATTTGTAAACAAGTACAATCTAAAATGACAGTCTGAAAATAATTAAAGATGATTTAAAGGTCACTCAAAGAATTCACTTATTCAAAGGGAATTTAAAGGAATGGAGGCACACAGAAGTTCTAATAAATCTCATGGCAAACATTCATATTGAACGGAAGGCAGGATATGAATCAGTGAACTTTCCTCCATCTCCATCAAATAAAAATAATTCAAATGTCACAAAAGCAGAAAATGCCAAATATCTGTCATATCTATTGTCGCCATCTCTCGTCGTGAACGCATGAAGACGACAACAACAACAACGCAAAAGCGACCTCCGAGCCCCCGTCACGTGGTGCGCTCGGTGACTCCTGCGCTTTGGATTTGTCTCCAGTTGCGCCGCAGAAGAGACTCCGCTCACTTGGCGGAGCTTTCGCTCTCACCTCCGCCTGCCGAGAGGATGTCCGGGTTCCTCCCCGGGTGGTTGGCCCTGCACGCGCCCGTCTGAACAACTTCGTCCCGGGTCTGATGTGTCCCCTCGGAGCGTCTTCTGCGAGAGAATGCGTCTTCTCGTTTTGGTGACTTTATTTGGAGTCCTTCTCGACGCAGGTAGGTTCAAGTGCGCTCGTTGTCTCGAGTTTGGAGATGCGCGCGTTCGGCAAACAACGGTGCGCTGGGTTGGCTTCGTTTACGTCCACATGCGTGCGCAACAGAGGGTCACCGGCGATGTTAAAAGAAATATCTTATTTACGTCTAATGCGTCCTAACGCACACCCATTTCACCTCACGACACACTGTATCCAAGTGCCTCGGAGCTGATGTCTCGCGTGAAGACTGTGCGTAAAATCCGCCATCCAGATCTGCGCAGTACACAAATATTCACTTTTTTTGTCTTTATATACTTTTAAGATAACTTGAGGAATCGAAGTCAGAGACAATAAATAACAATCATGTTGCGTTGCTGGTGCAGACTTGATGCCGGACTCCCGTGCGCGCTTGTGGCACGCAGGGGGGGGAAAGATAGGATCATATGTTTAATCAAATATCTGCCTCAAACCCGCTTATTTCAATCGGTCTGTTAATGCAGAAAGAGAGATTATTGAATGCAAGTGTTATCATATATTTGTATTTATCGTCACAGAGATAAAACATCTCTTTTACCAGAGAGACCTGAGGATCTGTTCCTGTCTGATGCTATTATATTGTTTGGTTGTGCCTGTGGTTAAACCGGTTCCATTTAATGGAATTAGGATGACAAGATATCGTTTTCACACATTTTGTATGAAGGTGTAAATTGTGTTTTTTTCTGTTTGGGGATAAACACATTTTCGAAGCAATTTTCTGATCCAACTGATAAGCTCCGCTCGGCCGCTGCTCCAGTATGACTGATACTTCCCAAAAATAAGTTCCAAGTTCTCCTCTCGGTGATGGATGGAGCTTTCACACACTCGCTTGCTTTGAAATAATTAGGCGGTGGCTGAGATGTCACATGTGGACCTTTATCGGACGCGTCTGATGCTGCTGTTGCAGTTGAGATTAATGTTTGGTGCCGTTTCCATGATTACACCAGCATATATTAGAGCCGCTAGAGCCTCTGTGGGGTATTTAGGAAACAAAGGGCAGGCGTGTTTACTGGACTTTGAGTTTTTTAATCAAACGCATCCGTATGGTGCTGGTATCTTTTGGAAATATTAATTCAACGTGCTGTACCGATTAATACTGACTGATGGGATTAACTGCAATATAGAGAACCTTTCATTCAGCTCCTTGTGTGAAACAAACAGAGGTTTTAATCAAATGAATGGCTTTTCCATGATGCTACGAGTTATCAGTGAGAATGTGTCCCGCATATTGAAGAGGGGCGCTGCACAGCACGAACATTGTCTGCAGAAACAGGACCCTAAGCCCACGGACATCGCGCTGTCTCCATCTCGGGAGCCACAGCTGCATTTCTACAGACATGTTTGGCAATTCCGAGAGTAGGAAAGTCAGAATAATGACGAGGTTTCATGCAGTAAGGGCAGCCCATCCAGGGAGAGACGTTAGGAGAAGATGTGGTAGCAGTCAGCCGCTCACAGTTTAACTACCTTAGGGGAGGCAGTTCACACACTCTTCACACTCGCATTGTAAATGGAGCTTTATCGCCTATAGAAATCAATTGTTTGAAAGGGAAGTTAAAGCAATCCCTTTGTGCCCCCCTCCCACATTTAAAAAAAGCTTTATTTCACTTCAAGGTATAAACCTATAGTCTCTCTGTTGACGCTCATGAAAAAGGCATCATAAAAGGCCGAAAAGCACCAAAGATTAGACATGTTGAACGACTCGCTCGTGCGCTTTTGGCCCTGCACCTCCTGCACCTCCTGCACCTCCTGCTGCCGGGTGTGATGTCAAGAAAAACCGAGAAGATGACATTGCACTCTCGTGGAGAGCCATTCGTCTTCTTTGGTGTCACACAGAGGCCTCTGCTAAACAAGCTGAATCCATAACAAATCTCTGAAAATATAAAAGAGAACGAAGCCTAGAAGTTTGGACAAACAAAATGTAAAGAGTCTGAATATGAATCTGCTCACGTCCCAAAGTGTCAGCGTTTAATTGAAGCACAGCAGATGCAGATGAAACCAAGATGGGACGGCTCCATTGTCTGAATATGTTGCGCTCTCTCAGGCGATGCCCTTCAGATCCAGTGCTACCAGTGCGAGGAGACGAAGCACAATGACTGCTCCACGCCGGAGTACATCGTCAACTGCACCGTCAACGTGCAGGACATGTGCCAGAAGGAGGTGCTGGTCAAATCGGACGGTAAGTGACGCGTGCATATATGATTTATGTATTTTCTATTCTTTAAAACACAGAACAGCTGTTCCACCTGGGAGGATTCCATTTGAGTCCTCGGCCGTTCAGATGAGCGCGAGGCCACGTCGTCCGGTAGCAAAGCGCATGGACGCCGACGGAGGAGACGCGGTCATTAACGAGGTCGTCTGGAAATCACGATGCCGCGATGTGACATTCATTAAAAGGCAAACAGCCGATGAAATCATCTGTGAAGTTTGCACCTGTTGGCATTTCAAAAAAAAAAAAAACCCTCACCTTTAAATCCTGACATTCGCGGCAGAGGCGGAGTAGGTCACAACAAACGCAGAGTTCCCTTCAGGGTCGTGGATGCTGTTGTCTTGTTGTTGTGATGCTTTGCTCGGCCTCAAAGAGGGAGAGAGTCGTGCGTATTAACGCAAGGACACCAGCATCAGCCTGCGCGTAGTAGCACATGAGGTTCCCGTGACGATCTGAACACAAAGATACGCAGGGTCGTTTTCACTGCCATGCTCACATCGCATCGTCCTGGAGAACACCCGCTCCCCTGGAGCCCTTCTGTTCGGCTCGTCCGTCAGAGAGGAAGGGCCTTTCCTTCAGCTGCCCCCGACACCGTGTCAGGGAAAATAAAAAGCTTCAGCCGCTGAGGCGCAAACTTAATGGTTGCGGGGATTTGGAGAGCGGCGTCCTTTTTAGCCTTCCAAAACCCAGAAAGACATGTTTATCTGCTCTGAGTCATGGTCCTTCGCGTACTGCACTCAAGGTAGTGAGTAGTTTGTATGAACGCGGTTCGCGTGTCGTGTTATATAAAGCAGCCTGTGGAGAATCCTCCTTCAGCACCGCGGACAGCGGCGGGGAGCCGTCATCGCCTGGTGTCCGGAGTCTCCATCAGTCACACGGGACCAATGAGGCCGACAGATACTCAGATACCCGCCGAACTTTGGTCCTCGTGTGTGGAAGCTGTGCACGTGCTCCCGTATAATGGCGCCATCACACAGATCGAAGGCATCCAAACTCGATTTAATCCAAAGTTGTTTTTTTTCTTCTCGATTTACAGCAAACACCAGATAACACAATGAGAACGTTCCTCAAGCGATAATGCACCGTGGCTTCTACACATCCCCAATAACACCGGCATTAGTGCTGCTAGGTGGAGAACGCTGGCTTTAAGGGAGTCGCTGGCTCCCGAGTGCAATAATAAAGTTACAGCCGCACAGAATATGAGTTTTTCGTCTTCATGGCAGTATACAAATAGCTCGGACATGTACAACGCTGACAAACACGAGTTAATAAGAGCAGACGGGAAGTCAATAGCTCCATAGGCCTCCAGTGCAATAAAATGCAGCAGCAACCCACCAGGCTCCTATGTGTGTTATAGGCCTGTAATTACAGCAGGGGGAAATGAAGGACCCCTCTGTAAAGTAAAGGTTGTATTTCGCCCCCGTGCCGGATGACCGCCCCCCCCTAACGGTGCGGCCCGACGGGTCACACTGAAGCCTTCTCTGTCTGCTCTCCAACAGGGACGCATTATCGGAAGTCCTGCGCCTCCTCCGGAGCCTGCCTCATCGCCTCCTCGGGCTACCAGCAGTTCTGCACCGGCAGGCTCAACTCGGTCTGCATCTCCTGCTGCAACAGCCCGCTGTGCAACGGGCCCCGGAGGAAGCGGCCCGCCCCCTCGGCGGGGACGTCCCAGCGGCCTCTCCTCCTCTTCCCCGCCTCCCTGCTGATGCTCCTGTGTGTGACGTAGACTGAGCATCAAAAATACCCCCCCCCCCCCATCCTCTCCTCTATTGATTGATGATACGATCAATACTACTACCACGTCTTAATGTATGAGTATGTATGAGGCTACAGCCAGTGGCTGGTTTGTTTAGCTTAGCTTAGCGCAAAACAGTGAGAAACCGTCTGGATGCAACCAAATCTCTATTTGACTTCATGGTTATTTCCACATTAGGAACACAGACAGAACCAGGCGGTTTCCGTCTTCGTGCTAACGCGCTAAGCTAACGGGACCGATGCGTGAGCAGAGTAAACGTACGTTAGAGAACAATCCATTAAGGGAAGTCCTACGCTCATCTTTTATGAACATTTTTCGTGAGATTAATTCAGGCTTTATTGAGCGCGGGGAATCATTTATTGCTGTTGTTACACACAAAAAAGGACCCGTTGAGGCACTTTCCCCTCCTTGGCTTTTTGTGACCAACCTGCTCTGATGTTATTTTCGGGTACTGCTACAAGTTGCTGTAATGAAATCTCTAAGCTTTTACTTTGTGGGCTTTCGTTAGTGAAAGGTTTGACTTGCGTCTTGTTAATGCTGCTCAGAGTCCACAGGTTCTACTGATTATTCAACTAAAGGCTTCATGTGTTGTGATGCAAAAGGCCTCTTTGATTAAGGCGAATGTGAATTTGGAGGCTTCTGAGCGCTTGTTATCGGGGGATATTAATAATTCGATATGTGCACATTTTCCACTGCCACGGAGTATTGATTGCCATTTTGCTTCTTGGGATATGAAAGACGCTGAGATGGATTAGGAAAGACTATTTGTGTTATTGCTTTTTAATCCTCCCTCATAAAGTTGATTCTGTCTCACAGCTGATTACATGTATTAATTAATATTCCATGTCTTACTTTGTGAAATGAGATGTTGAACTGTCTTAGCGCTAAACTTGGAGATATTGTGTAAATCTTATAGACAAGTTATAAGCACAAATAAATTCTCACTAGAGAAATGCTTGAGGCTGAAGTCAGCAAGTCTTCAGATCATTTTCCTTTGGAAATAACAATAACTATGTACATATGATCAAATCATAGTAACGCGTGTATCAGTATTCTATCGTCTCAAAACTGGTTTATATTTCCACCCAAGTTAATCATTTTTTATTTGGCTCCTATCATTCCATCGTCTTCTTCTTCAATCTGTCCAGTGTCGTATTCTCAAGTAGACATCAACAAGGCCAAACTAGGTTTTAATGCCACACGTGCTGATTTTAATGGTCGAATGCCAAGAGGGACTTTTGTAAATTGATAAATATGATTTCAGAGCTTCATTCGACTGAAACAAAGACCAGATCTTCCGATATAAACGTTCGTGGCAGTTTGGTCCGACTGGTCTTCTGTGAAGAGTAACGCTGTATTCTGCTGGTTTGTGATGTAAATAAATGCTGCAGAAACAACTCACCTGTCGAGTTTTTGGTCGGCGTGACAACCGTCAGTAGCACGAGCCCAATCCGTCATATTGGACTTTTATTAGTCTCAGGAGGTCATGTAGTAGTGACTCACATTGAAACACAAGTAGCAGGACAATTTGTGAGCTTTCCACACAACCGACGTCACATTTCTACTCAATCTGCTGATTGGTTGTGAAGAGACTTCCAGGTCATTCCAGCAGTTAACTTGAGTGAATTAATCAAGAGTATCCCGATGAAATGTCTCTGTAATTAGTACCAATTCAGGTCCTCTTGAGGGAACCAACTCATGTTCTCTTCTTCTTAAAGGAAAGGAAGAAATAGAAACTGTGAAATCTCCAAAATAGTCCCAGAAAAATCGACATGTGCTTAAATCACAGCAAACGTGATTTGACGAACTCGGCTAAAAGGAACAAGTCGTGGCACTGAGACATCGTCCACATCCGACATCAGGATTCATCTCAGATATGACGCATCAGAGTTGGTTTTGCAGGGAGAGGGTGACTTTATTTGACTCTGTGGGGAATGAAAGTCAGCCACATTGGGGGTCGCTGGCAGGCTGGTGTATCTTCGACCTTCCCACAGCCCCGGTCGAGGACGCCGATTGTTCATTTTGCTGCATTTCAGCGCGCTACATCACGACTCACCTATTGATTATCTTGTGCAACCTCGGTGGTTTTCCCAAATAAGCATGGCCCGTGCGAGAGGCTTCGATCGCAGGTTCTCTCTGTGCACGCCCCAGTCTACCTGTTTGCATTCTCAATCCCCGGAGCTCTGTGATCCGCCTGCACTGAAACAGATAAAAGCCTCATGTGAAACCGATGATTAAGGTTTTGTCAGAAGGAAGGGGGGGGGGTGAATACAGATCAGCCACAATCCTCCTCTGTATCACACTCCCCTTCGAGTAAATTCGGGTCATTCTGTAAAGACGAGATGTGAGAGACGTGCAGAGGCCTCAGCTGTGCATTGTGATGTCAAACCGTACAAGACTGCAATATTCCTCCCAGTGTCTGCAAAGATCAACCTGTGAGTGCCATGATGGTGTTCGGGTGTCAGGGATTCCCCTAAAGACGCAGCAGGGGCTTTTTTTTAAGAACTCCATAAAAGCAGCAGCTCCCACTGGATGAATCCCGCTGCACACCTTAGAATGTCCTGCACAGTTTACGGTTTAAACTTTACCGTCCTTTAGCAGCAACGGCATTGTGCAGTGTGAGGGCGCGCCGGTACGACAGAGCATCATTAAGGCTGAGCACAGAGGAGGAGGAGGAGGATGGAGGAGGATGGAGTCAGGACTGACGATCACAAAGTGTCGACTGCAGCTCTCCAAGGATTAAGAAACAGCAAAAACAGGAGATTATTAAAAATAATAAGGGCCACCTCTGCCTTCTCTGCTCTAATGACGGGTGTGCAACTGCGGCCGCATTAGGGCTGCGGCAGTGGAAATACTTCAGCTGATGAGGGACCTCAACCCTGACACTTTGTTTGCTGCGTATTGGAAAGGTATGTGGGGGGGGGGGGGGGGGGGCACTGGACTAACAGATCATAAACCTCCACAGACTCAATTATCCCCAGTTCAGGAGTATAAATACCCTGCATTGCATCTGGTCTAATCTCATTCATTTCCATGTCATCATCGTGTGGCTCATTTTGCTATTGAACCATTAAACGAATTCTGCCATTAAATGTGATGACTCAGCATTCAACGAGAAGCTACCTCGCCCGTCTTCAACCCCAAACCACTTTAGTGCTGCGACACAAACCTTATTCCAGTAAGTAGCGGCGATAGAAAGAAAAGCGGCACACGTTTAAGAGGGGAAAGGAATCGGCGGCTGTGGGGAAAGTTAAAAAAGCATCAGACTCGCGTTGACCACATTCCACGTGTGCAGGAAACAGCAGAGTAAAAGAGAAGTTGCTCTTAAGAGCCGCTTCGTCCCAGCAGGGATGTTTGACGGGCTGCAGGGAGGAGGATTGAGGCGGCCTCATGCACCCTCTTTTCTTTGGTTTGAGAGTAAACTAGAGCACTGGTGCCCTCTAGTATTCGGAGCAGTGACACGCACGCGCAGAACGGTTGCAGAAGCTGGCGGCTGATTGCATCACGACAGAAGAAGAGACAGTTTCCCGGCACTTGGTGCAACCGTTCCTGAACTCGAACTGGTTTAATTGTCTTCTCATAAATAAAGTGTATTCATGCAGCGACTCATCAAAAGGTGTGAATAGGGCCGGTCGTCTTTACAACCATATTAAAATGGCGGGTTGCTCATTGTAGGTGAAAATAAAGACTCCCCTTACCATTGGTCTCACTAAGAGGAAGGTCCTTCTTCGATAGCGTGATATTTCGACGATCCTGAAAGCAAATTGTTCCCTCGACAGTTGTCGATGGAGATTTTTCCATCAAGTGGCTCCACGGCGAAGGACTGTTTCTATCAGCAGCAGCGCCGAGGGCGGTGGGGGAATAGTCTCTTATGTGAGTGATGACTCCATCTGAAGACAAAGGGCCAATGTTCTCAGGCCCTGGGATTGCCCTTAATGCGGTAAGGCGCAGCGAAGCCACAATTGAGCCCGTAAAGCTCCTTCTTGCTCATCTGTCATCTCTATCAGCAACCCTCCATGGGGGGTCGAGGACCCTTTCATCAGGCTGGCGACTTGAATCACTGATATCATCTGGTGGAGTCAGCGAGGCGAGATAAGGTTGGTTCCTGGTTTTTGTTCAATGGAAAACCAACGTAAAGAAACTTGCAAAATGTAACATTTTGATACTCTTATCTGATTATTTAATGATTTATATTCCTCATATTAGCATGTAGCTTATAGCACATTGAACAGTATAAAATAAACGTTGTATTCTTCCAAACTTTGAGTCTTCTTAAAACACGATAATAGATCAGAAATGAAACACAAGTAGCAGGACAATTGCTAGCGACTAACCATTGTAGCTGTTATTTAACCGATACATATTTTCTTATACACTTGACATTTCTACATTTATTAAAAAACAACAAAACACCTCATTTGAATCAACATCTGGCTGCAGTGACAGTCCCCGTCCACTGGGCGTCGGTATTGCGCTTTCCAAGCTGCTGACTCCGCACTCGAAGAAATTTCACCCAAACCCGGAAGCGTTCCCCGATCGGCCGTGACTGCTTTTCATTGAGGCTGCTGCGATTTCATTCCGATAGCGTTAAAGATATCCGTTGGTGTCGCAAGCCTCGGAGATTTGCTCGCCAACAGATTAAAAGGAGAGCAAGGCGATGGCTGGTCGGCTACCGGCTTGCGTTGTTGACTGCGGCACGGGGTGAGTGACAACAATGCGATGCTAGCTAGCGTTAGCCTCGAAAGCTGCTGGCTGTCAAACTTCCAGCTAACGCCCCGTCTGGCTGATTAGCCCGAACGATGCTAACGTCACTTAGCCACATCTGCGCGTATTTTTGTTCGTGTTTCGCCTTTTAAAAGCCGACTTAAAGCTGCGCATTAGCACTCTAAAGTGACCGGCGTCTTTATTTAGTGTGCTACTCCCGTCGGCATCCGTTTTATTATTGCGATTAGCCGCTGCTAGCTACCGAGGCTAATGCTACTTCCTGGACAATCCTCATTGCAGAATGAATAACACCCAGATTATTTGGGGTGTTGCTCAACGGCGAACCTGTCATTAGCTTCCAGCAAACACTTGGTCCAGGAGGAGGCCGCTGTAACTCTTGTTCTTGTTCCCTTTTAGGTACACAAAGCTCGGTTATGCAGGAAACACAGAACCACAGTTCATCATACCATCATGTAAGTGAATGAAAACAAAAGCCAACTTGGTTCCATCAAATTATGACTGACATCCTTTAGTGTATTAGAACAATTGTGCATTTCAATCACATTAATATATATATTTACATTGTTAACCGCATTGCTTCATATATTGTATTACAGTAGTTACAGAATGAGGAATCTTCCTTTATAATTTGCAGCTCGGCGACATTGTGTTCAGCCACGTTGTTGATTAGTTTTCATGGTTTCTCTGAAAAGAAAAGAAAAGCAAGTTGTTTCATTGCTCATGGTGTTAATAAGACGTCCTTATTCAGGTGTCTGTCGGTTTTTAATATTACATCCTCATGTATCCTTTCATCATCTCCAGGTATCGCAATCAAAGAATCCGCCAAGGTGGGAGACCAGGCCCAGCGCAGGATGATGAAGGGTGTTGATGACCTGGATTTCTTCATCGGTGACGAAGCCATCGACAAACCATCATATGCAACAAAGGTAGACGTGAGCGTTCCACCAGCGAGCGGGGACCTCATGGTTAATTTAACACACTGACATTGTCCTTCTTCATCTGCAGTGGCCCATCCGTCACGGAATAGTGGAGGACTGGGACCTGATGGAGAGATTCATGGAGCAGATCATCTTCAAGTATCTGCGGGCAGAACCTGAAGACCATTACTTTCTTTTGGTAAGAGTTGCAAGCATCTATTCATTTATTTGTGTTGAAGTTTCTCTTTGATGATGTCGTGTAGTCAAATATGCGCGTGTGTGTGTGTGTGTCTCTTCCCCACCAGACGGAGCCTCCCCTCAACACACCAGAAAACCGAGAGTACACCGCGGAGATCATGTTCGAGTCCTTCAATGTCCCGGGTCTCTACATCGCTGTTCAGGTACCTTCCTCAAACTATGTACCTGCTGCTGCTGCACGCGCAAATTTCCCCCTGGGGATGAATAGAGGATGCATTCATCTGACGGCAGTAGGAAAGACTATTGGGTTCTATTTGAAACCAGCCTAGAGATCCAGGAATAGAACTAGATTGTCTGCGTTTCGATGAGGAAATGATCCTTCTCACTTCCTCTTTCTAGGTGTCACAGTGTGTGAATGCTGTCATTCAATATTTATAACCGCGGCATTTTTCCAGTGACATAATAAGCTGTGCACGACCTCCCCCCTGCTCTTCACAACAGTGTCCTTGTAACAGTTTTGTCTCCCTGCTTCAGGCTGTCCTGGCGCTGGCTGCCTCCTGGACATCCAGACAGGTGGGCGAGCGGACGCTGACGGGCACCGTGATCGACAGCGGGGACGGAGTCACGCACGTCATCCCGGTGGTGAGTGTCGGCTGGTCGGGATGATTTCATCGCCCCTCCGTTCTCGGCCCTTAACTGCGTGTGTGTGTGTGTGTGTGTGTGTGTGTGTGTTTGTTCCAGGCGGAAGGCTACGTCATCGGCAGCTGCATCAAGCACATCCCCATCGCCGGTCGGGACATCACGTACTTCACCCAGCAGCTGCTGAGGGAGCGAGAGGTGGGGATCCCCCCGGAGCAGTCCCTGGAGACGGCCAAAGCCGTCAAGGTAAGTGGTGGAGTGCTCCTTTACACATTATCTACACCATCGGGTGAACATCTCACCTTGCAAAGTGCAAGTGACACTCCTGCCCAATCCGAAAGAGTCCCTGTGTATTCACAGCAAGGCTGTTTCTCTACTGAAAGCTGCAATAAACCGGTTCAATAACAGGAAGCGATGCTCCCGTCAGGTGACGGTGGTGGTTATGCGCTTCTCCGTCTGGCCACCAGAGGGCAGCGCAGCTACAGAAACTACGGCATCACTCGCTGCCGTCTTAAATAGATGGTTTCACCTACTTTGTGTGATCCATTTGGCTTTGTCCCTTCTTTAGGAGCGGTACAGCTACGTCTGCCCGGACCTGGTGAAGGAGTTCAACAAGTACGACACAGACGGCTCCAAGTGGATCAAGCAGTACACGGGCATCAACTCCATCTCCAAGAAGGAGTTCACCATCGATGTCGGCTACGAGCGCTTCCTGGGGCCCGAGATCTTCTTCCACCCGGAGGTATCATCTACGTTTAATAACAAAAGATCGCTCGCCGAGAAGCCTCCACTTTCATCTCTTTGTTAAGAGCTTTTAAAGCAAAGCCAACATTGTTTGTTTGGCTGGCGGGTGGAAATGTTGCATATTCTATTACAAAGATTTCACCCAGCTGAGCGCACAATCCCATTTCTGCTCTTTGGTCTCGTCCAGTTTGCCAACCCGGACTTCACCCAGCCCATCTCCGAGGTGGTGGACGAAGTCATCCAGAACTGTCCCATCGACACCAGGCGTCCGCTCTACAAGGTAGAGAAACCCCGTCCCCCTCCGCTCACCCTGCCACCCGCTCCCCCCCCTTCACCTCCCCTTTGTCTCGCAGAACATCGTGCTCTCCGGGGGCTCCACCATGTTCAGGGACTTTGGCCGGCGGATGCAGAGGGACCTCAAGAGGACCGTGGACGCGCGGCTGAAAATGAGCGAAGAGCTGAGCGGCGGCAAGCTGAAGGTGAGATTAGTCGGCATCAAATGTGGGTCCCCCCCCCCCCGCTTTTAAACGCCAGTGTGTTTGTAGAGTGAGCTGGCAGCAGAGGGGACAGGAAGTGGCGCTTGTGTCTCAGTATTGATTTGTTCCCGCAGCCAAAGCCCATCGACGTGCAAGTCATCACTCATCACATGCAGAGGTACGCCGTCTGGTTCGGAGGATCAATGCTGGCGTCCACTGTGAGTATGGAAGCACTACTTTCTGCCCCCCCCACCCCCCCGCTGCTGCATATGTTAAGTATATCGTTTTGACACTAACGGGACCTTTTCCCTCCGGCAGCCTGAGTTTTACCAAGTGTGCCACACCAAGAAGGACTACGAGGAGATCGGGCCCAGCATCTGCCGCCACAACCCCGTGTTCGGAGTCATGTCTTAGGGGAGGGGGAGGGAGGGGGGGGGGCGCATGTGCGTCCACCGGAGGCCGAGGGTTCGAGGAAGACGAGGAGCAGCACCTCACACGCTGTGGATGTCCCATGAGCCTTTGCACGAATGCTCCGACAGACCCGTTCATTCGGACAAAGCGACATTGGACCAAACAAACAGCGGAAATGTCCTCACAAAGAGGTGGCTCAGCCCAAAGGAAGCTCACAAAGTGTTTACTGCGAGTAGATTAATAATAGTTGATACATCTTTAATTTTCTGTGTGCCTCGTATATGTACTTCTAATATCCTCACAGGGTTACAATATGTAATTAATCAACATGAGTCCTGTATAGATGCATCTCTGTGTATATGGGTTGGGTTCTTGCTAAATGTTGTTGGCTGTTCCGAGGAGCAGGAAGTGCTTTGCTAGTGAATAAAACACCTCTTTGCTCATCAAATGGGTGAAAAGAAAAAGAAATCAATCCGCAGACCAACTGATCGTTCCTTATTTTCTACTTTTTGTGTCTCTTTTTCTGAACTTGTGTCTGGAAGAACTATAATAATAAGTTCACATGATGAAAACAAGTCCGGCGTTTAAAACTCATTATTTTCCTGCCACATTTTACTACATCACCATTTCACGACATCACCGCCGCCCTTTTTCCATTTGCAACAATCAAATCTGTCCCCCCCCCGTCGTGTTAATATATGAACTTGCAGTTTGGATGACTGTTGTCGGCCTGTTCTCGGTTCCACTGGCAATAAATGACCAGGAGAAACGAGCGGCGGTGTGATTTGTGTTTGAAGCTGCGCTGCTCAGAGTTTCCCCCTCAGGCCGAGCAGCGTGTCACGCAACGCTTTATTTGTGTCGTCCTGCAGAGCGCCGACGCAGCGAGCGGGCCCGCCTGGTATCCACCTATCGGGGGGGGGGGGGTTTATTTCATTAATGCACATGGTCAGAAGGTCGTTGAGCCCCTCCCCCCCATGGCCACGGCCTTAACGTAGCTGCTGTTTAGGGCTGTCAGGTAATGACTGACGAGATGGACAGGTGTTCTGATCGGACTAACCGCTACCAGCTGAGGCGTCAGGTGACGCAGCACAGGTGTGTGTGAGAGGAGCCATCATTCATTTATCAGAAGAGGGTTTCGGATACAAAATAAATGAATAAAAAACCAATATTGGGATCATCATGAATGTTCTCATATAATGGTGAAGAAAGTGTAGAATTATATTGTGAAGTGATTCCAGTATTTTTTAAGCGTTATCAGAAACATCCCCCATTGCCCCCCCCCCCCCCGGGACCCTCCTGTTTAAATTAAACATGATTTTATTGCCAAACATGACCCGGGGCGTCATTACACGACGAGCCGACGTAAATCAGCTCCTTCCCGGGAGCCACTGGTGGTCAATCTGCCACCTCCTCTTCTTGGTCCGAGGGAATCGACGGGTCACGGGAAAGAGTCGTGGTCATGTGTGAACCGGAGGACGTCCCGATGAGTTGCGTGCCGTGGAGCCGAAATAATGGAAATGAGGAGTCGAGGCAGACTCGCCTCGGGAGGCCGAGAATGATCCTCCAGCCCAGAGTTGTGATTCACCCCAAATATCTTCATTCAAATGAATAAAACCAAATTCAAACCTTTGGCTGCTTCAGTCTCGTGCATCTTTTTCAGCACATTTCCCCAAAACGTTGCTTATATTAAATCTTTCCTGTAGATCTTCACCATAAATTAAGTTGTGCCGAACCTCAATGAGGTTTAAATCCGACACATTTATTTGTTTATACAAAAGAGCAACAGGGACGGAAAGGTCACGTATTTCTACAATAAGTATTTTTAAGATTCTGCTTGAATAAAAGCCGGAGAAGGTTCTCGATTCCCGTGAGAAGAACGCACGCGTGTTGATTGTGCTCGTTACCTCTGATTGGCTGAAGCTGAGCAGAGCTTTTAAAAAGCCCCCGTTGGGCCGAGCACGCGGCGTGCGTGAGCAGGAGACACCGTGTGTCTGGACAGTTGGACGGAGCGCTGTTAGCGTCCCTCGCAGCTCTCGGCCCCCCCGAGCTTTGTCTCTTCTCTCAGCGTTTTTCAGTGGGAACATTTCCCAGAATTTCCACTCAAAAGTTGACTGAAACATTTCGACGAGGGGACCAAAGATGAATGTAATCTTTTGGACTCCCCGTCCCGTCCCCCCCCAACCCCAAGATGAATACCCAGAGTCTCTGCTAAGCCACCAGCATGTGGTCGCCGTCCCTGACCCCCTCAGTCCATGTCCTTCTCGATGACGCTGAGAATGTTTGTTCTGTCAGCGACTCGAGTGTGTTTAACTCTTGTGTGATGGAGGGGGGGGGGGGGGGCACACGTCCTCTGGAGCTGTAGCAACTCATTTAATATGAAACCTCATGAGATTCACCCAACAGCAACTTTCTCATCGACACAAACTGAACCTCGGTTCAGGCGGACAAGAAGGCCGCAGAATGATTGACAGGTGGTCTCTGAAATCAGGGGGGGTAATTGGAATGCGTCATTTGAAGTTAGACTTTTTCAAAAATGATTATTCTATACCATTAAACGGATCCAAATCCGATTAATATTCCAATATCCTCGCGCAGGTTTTATCATAATTGATGAATCAATTTTGACAAAAGCGGAGGGGGGGGGGGGTGGCGGCCCGGTGCGCACGCCGCGGGCGGAGTAGATGGAGTGTGACTGAGCCCGCCCGTCACTGGGACATCAGGTTCAAGCTGCGAAATACCGGGTCGAAGAGGCACGCAGATAATAATAAATTAGACTGTCATAATCCATTTCGCTCGCGCTGCGTGCGAGACCCCCGGCGGCCACTGGAGGGCAGCGCGGCCTCTGCAGTCCACGCCCAAGGTTCACGGCGCCGGGGAGGGCGGACAGATGTGATAATTAAAATCCTCCTGAAGTTTTCTTTTCTCCAGTTGAGTAAAGTTAACATTACGTTGGAGGGATGAGGGGGGGGGAGGGGGGGCGGTCACACCTTGATAATTGGAAAAGGCGAACCCGAAGCGAGAGGCTGACATGTTACAGTGACACTCTCATCAGCTCCATCCCCTCTCCTCCTAATCTCCGCTGTGAACGGGGTGAGCAGGATTACACCTGAGCGTGTCGCGTCCCCTCGCACCTCGCCCGCCGCTGACATCATCACACGGGGTCTTTGTCCCCCCGCTAGATAGAAGCGTCCACGGCGAATAGCGAGCGCGGGTGGTGGGGGTGGGGGGATGGAGACCGTAACGGGGACGACGCCGGCTCACTGTAATCCCCAAAACACTGCAGTAAACCAGCAAAACAATGAGTGTGAGGTTTATAATGAGCTGGACCTCCCTGAGCCCCCCCCCCCCCCCCACTCTGCTCTACCTCCACATTACCCAGAGGGCAACCCGGGAGGCGCAATTATTCAGGCCTTTGCTCAGCCAAGTAGAAGAAATTAGCCTCTTCTCCTGAACCAAGACCTTCTAACCTGCACCAGGACCTCGGGCGTCCTCTCTGACTAGCACGACCCCCCCCCCCCCCCAGTCCTCGCTTTCCATACATATGAGCCCGAGCAGGCCGGAGCCACGCTCGGCTACATGGGGGCCCCCCCCCCTTACCCCGGGATCTCGGGCATCCTGGAAGGATGTCTAAAAATGTAGAGGACTTCTGTTATGTTGGGACCAGATCTCAAAGAAGGAGAGCTCCTCGTCCCTCCTCCCTCCTTTCCTTCCCCTTCTCCTCACGTCTGTCTCTGCCTCCTCACCCACCTCCCACCTCTCAGTGGATAAATGAGGTTCCTGCTCCCGTCGTCCTGCCACGACGCGCCAACGTGCCGCCATGTTGGGCGCCTTCGACGGCGATGCGTCCGGTTCTCCCCGTTCAGACCCCCCATGTTGTAATGCATCCCTTTGGGTCTCTGTTCCTACCTTCACCGCAGGCCTCCACGCGGCGGAGGGTATAGGCGGCGTTTATTGACCCGGGCCTCCAGGCTCCTCGCTGCCATTTCCTCGCCCGTCTTCCCAAAGAAAGCGGCCAGCGCTGGGGGAGAGAGTGGGAGACGGCGGGGGAGAGATCGGGAATCCACCTCCGGTTGTCGGGCTTCAGACTTAATCTGCAGGGGGTTGCTCGCCTTTGTCTCGCCTCCCACTTCCTCCACCTGAGGAGCGCTTGATACCGCGTCACCGAGTGCGACAATGCACCGCTGCTCCATATCTCCACCCGACTCACGGCTCTGGTGGAGAGGCGAGGAGGAGGTGGAGGACCCACAGACTGCAGCAGTCGGCGGTGCTAATCCGCCCTTCCAAAAGTGTACCGAAACGAAGGAGATGATTCTCCTCCTCACCCCCCATCCTCCCCCCATCCTCCCCCTCTGCGACACGGGTGTCTAATCTCCACTGTTCGGGCTGTTTTTCTTTTTTCATTAATTTAGTGTCAGGACTCATTTCGAGGGCCTTGAATACAGACGTCAGGATGCCGTCGAATCCCATCGCGGGGCCTTTAATGAGATAACAGGCTTTAGTGGGAGAATTAGCGCCATTGGAAAAAAGGAAAAGCCAATGAGATTAGTTCAATGGGACGTGGATGCCGAGACTTTGGAGACAGAGGGGAGACCGTATCAGACCCGCCCTGCCAAATCACAAATCTATTTCCGACACTGGTATTAATTATCAAACTAAAGCCGCTGTCGCATATTGATTCATCGGGGTGCGCACTTGTATTATCTCCTATTAAACAGGGGGGGGGGGGAGATTATGTGAGCCCTTCGGGGGCGCTTTATGGATCCTGTGATACTGTTAAACCGCGTCACGCACGCCAAAGCAACGAGACGAGCTGCCTGCGCGCGCAAGAGCCTTAAACGTGATTATTCTGCCCGACGCTTTTCAATTAGCGCGAGCGTCCCGTCCTCCGGAGCGACTCCCGCGCGCGGGAATGTGTCCACGCCGGGTTGTCTTGTGCGGACCGCGAGGGGCCGGAGGGTTTGGAACGGAGGACTCTGGGGAAAATGGGGGGGGGGGAAACCCGCATGCAGAGAGCCTCGGATCATCCCGTAGCTCCTGTGACCGGAGTGGGTGGTCGCCGAGGCGTTGAGACACACACACACACACACACACACACACACCTCGCAAATAATGAGACCTCCAACGGTGTGACACCCATTTCACACATGGGTGGCATCTGTGATTGGGAAACATATGTTTGTATTGATGTATAATTATGAGCACTGAGTTCCTCTATTTCCTCTAAGTTGGTGGAAATGACTCTGGTGTGTGCATGATTGGGTGTGTGTGTGTGTGTGTGTGTGTGTGTGTGTGTGTGTGAGATGGAGAAAGAGCATCAACACCCCGCCGACTGCACTCAATCTCCGTCTCAATTATACAGCGAGAACACAAGTGTCCGCAACCACAGAGATGTCGTCTCCTTCGTCTATATCACCCCCCCCCCCCCCCAACACACACACACTCCCCCCCCCCGTCTCCTGCTCAGGTGTCACGCAGGTAGCTGGGAACTGATTATACAGTGTGGAGATCGGCCTCTGTGATTGGACGCCGGCGACTGAGAGGAAACCTGAAAGATTTAAGAGAAGAAGAAACGGGA